GCCCCCCCCCCCCCCCCCCCCCCCCCCCCCCCCCCCCCCCCAGCAGGAATTCATGATAGGCAGTATATCCCGTGCTCATCGATTTCAAAACTTGATTCCCCCTTTTGCGGATTTGAAAACTCTTAATCTTCCTTCTAAAGATGGTGTTGTGTTGGGCTCGTAAATCTAAGTGTGTCTGTGTTTTTGCCACTTATAATGCTACACTAGACTGTTGATACTGAAAATTAAAGTAATAGCATGTTTTCCTTACATCTTCAAGGAAATTGGGTTCGACTGATTGAAATTGGTGGTGGTGTTGAATATTGGTCTACGAGATCGTAGGCGACAGCTTCATGATTGAATATCTACCTATCTGCGAAGCGTGAATAGTCTCTAATATCTTGCACCTGAGATCCTCCATCCTCTGTCCCAGCTCGCAATATCTTGTCCTGATACGTGAGTGAACGTATCTCAGTTTGTCCTGAGCCTTGCAACCTTCTCTTGAACATATATATAACCTGCTATTCGAACCTCTTTCCTCACTTCATTCAGAAGAGACCAAGGTCTCCTACCACTACTACCTGTTACATAGTACAAGATTAAGCGATGCTGGTGGATATGGAGCTGTGTAGTTGTTGGGTACTTGAGTATCTTCAGTAGTGCCGATTTTAATTGATCTGCTCGCTCACGTTTCCGGGGATGGAACGCGTGTAGGTCGCTATTCACTCACTGACCTAGGTAATGTAAATGGGTATGATACATATATCCATTTACTTATATTGCTGTTCCTTTCAAAAGAGTCCTAGAGGTGGTTAGGTGTGTAGTGGTTGAGGTGGTACGGTTCTAGCGAAGCTTTTCCTACCGAACGATTTCTTGAGTAGTATTCCAGGGACGAGGGAATGAGACCATGGTTGCATCGCTAGGTGCTGGGGACGGATTCCCTCGTTGGCCGAATTTATGTTTTGATTGTCTTTTTGATTGACGTCTGCATGCATGGATGTATTTTGCGTGGTTTCTATAGGATAGAACTGGGAGTTATTTGCTTGCTTGAGTATGTTGCAACGCGGATTACTTACCTCCTTATCTACCTACTTCCTTATATAGCGAAATACGACTCTGAGATATATGAACATCTAGGAATGGTAGAGAGGCTAATCGCTTCAAGACTATGTGTAGATGTGATATGAATGCTGGGCGAACTACCCGTTCATAGTGAAATGGCATGTATATGAGCGTCATAATAGACCTCTCGAACTCATGAGTGATGGGGTAGGGAATACATTTTTTTTGTTCGCAAGTAGTACTTGCAAGTCATTGTTTCAAGGCTTCTCAACCCCTTTCCGGATGAAACTGTGACTGTATTCAGATTGGGTTCTTTGTCTACTTACAGCCTTACAAGTTGTAGCTACCTTGCGACCTTGTAACAACATGATAGATAGAACTTCCATATGCACATCAAAGAGATTCTGGACTCGTGACATTTAGAATGTAGGTAATAAAACGACTTCTTGGACGTGCTTATTCTTAAAAGTTTCGGATCGTATTTGCGACGGATGGAGGTGCTTCTTGGATAGAGGATCAGAGGCGAGTACGTTACTTAGTCATATTCTCTGACAGGGTGCGCTTGCTTCATCAGCTTAACGTAGCTGCCCTAAGATAATGAAGGCTTATTCAGGCTGATGTTGAAGGTATCACGTTTGGGCGTGTTCTTGGAGTCTTGAATGTATCATCTAGTGAGAGCAAGTTGTACATGTGATTTTTTTTTTTTTGGAGATGCATGTCTATGGTTGTCATCTTACATAACAATTTACCAGCTTATCTACATATATGATTACGTTATATGTCAGCGCTCTACTAATAGACAAGTCATGAAGGCGTTGACTAACTTCATACATCGGGTGTTGAGTGAATAGCAGGCGTTGTGTGCTGGCTCTAGTATCTAATAACATATGCTTGGCGTCATGAATAAGGTATGTACACCAGTGGGCCTAATCTAGGCTCTTGAACCAAGCATCTTGTTTCTTGATTTGCCCGTTCGAGTCCTTTGGTTCCCTCATTACTTCATCACATATAAATGTAATTTGAATAAAGGTTGTTTTGAGGTTGTCAATGTAGTTTATTCCAAGGGCCAATCCCCAGCCTACGGGTTTAGTGTATTATGCGCTATCAGGGCCCTGTTCCTAGCTCTCATTGGGTGGTCGTCCGCAAACAGCAATTTGTACTTTTAAATTAAACATTATCGCGCAGGTTGAACCTGTGCTGAACTCGAAGGATGCTGAATTACTCAGCTTCAATATGTCCAATATCCTTGACTATAGCATAGACGGATTAACGTCCAATCTAGCAACCTGTCTCACTAACGTCCATAGTGCTAGTGTAGATATGGTAAGTACGCGGAACAGATCGTACGTCAACTCGGATTCGTTGGGGATAGAGGGCTGAAAACTAATCCTATAACGTGCCTGATAACAACACTAATATACGGGCTGCGTAAGTGCGCTTTTCGGTTTTTGAGCAGAGGGTCGGACTTAAAAGACAATCATCATCTCAATGTCGCAGTTGACTGAAAGAAGGGATCGATCCAGGCCATCCGAGCTCTCAATCGGGAAGGGTTTAAAATCTCACCATTCTGATAGTGTAGTGTACTATGTAGTTCACAGCTTGCACGTAACACCAATAAGGCACGACGCTACACGGATTGGAGAATACGATTGTTGCGCAAACAGGTAAAGCCAAGATGCGGGTGTGGTCTCATCTGAAGATCTTCAGATGGGGAAGATCGTGCAATTTCGGTCGAGCGCTTCGATAGTCTGTTCCTAAGCGAAGCCTTATTGGTATCTAGTGTGCGCTGCTAACGCTGGCACTTGGATAGTGTATCTTGGGTTAACCGGCCAATTTTGCTACGATAATTACTTTTCGAGGGTGAGACCTCGGACGTGTGAAGAAGGATCATCCCAGACAATTGAACCGTGTCTCGGGCCGCCCCGCCCGTCGTCGACTCAGACACTATTTGTGATATATCAGACATTCTTTGTTGATTTGAATGTATGCGATATTCGATCGCATTGTTCGCTCTATGCATTGAGGCAAACCTTGATATTGTGACAGGAGGTTTCTAAGCTATGCGCACAGCCTTACACATATTGTGGCGTGAGGATCAGACGGAGCGGAGGGAAGGACAAATAGGGTTCTCATCACATCATCGTTTAACTTATGCTGGGCGTCCACACCCAGCCAGCCGGGTCGCACTCTAACCGTAAATGCTATCGAGCTTGGGGTATATGTAAGTGTGTACAGTTAGTGCAATGTCGATCGTGATGATTTGGTACGCATCATAGGATACTATGTACAGTAAGCTAGACACATGCAAACTTTAGCATCCTAAGATGAGACATACTGTACAGCGTGGATATTACTTGCGAGAATCTTGAGGCTCGGGCACGGTGCAGCGCAGGTGGCTAAAGAATGCTTGTTGTCTACGTTAGCCGTAGATGGTATTCACACCTAGCCTGTGTTCAGGTTGAAGCCCACGACTTACATAGTAATAAGTATCTTCCTCGGTTACGGCGATTGGAGACGGTCTGGCAAGCTAGCCGATATCTAGTGTACCAGCTCTACAGTTAGCCCGAAGAGACCCGAACTCCGGTATCATGGACAAGGAATAAGGGACCAGCTCCGTAAATTCTTAAGCCATCTCATCCGCTAGATCCGCCACCGCCGAGATAATACCCATATGCAGTGCAGATCGGCCGCCTAAAGTTGAAAGCCGCGCGATATCTGTAAGATGTCATTGTTTAGCGTTTGATTTGGGTTACCGGTAATCACATGGCTGAGACTCAGATGTACTAGTAGTGGTTTAACAAGAACACGGTGATCACCATCCCTACCTGCTGTAACGAGATAGGATCGAGCGTTCAAGCGCTCCCTAACGCGAAAGCTGGGACGTTGACCCAGCAAAACCCCATCATCGCGTTTATCATACAGCAAGCCTAACTGTTTTGCTATAAGGCTGCGATGATAGCGGAGGCCAATATCAGCACTGATACGCTAATATACGAGAGCTGGGGAGCACAGCGCTAGATCGGCCACGAGAGCTTGAGCGAGATATCGGGCATCAGATAATAATAGAATCCTGCGAAAGCTCAAACACGCAAACGGAGCCCTCCTACTGTGTATGTAGAGTACCTGGCAGACACGTGCTAATGAAGCACATTCTACAGTCGTACACGTGTAGCTCTCGTCTTTTCTGGAAGGAAGAGACCCATCCATCGTCCCAACAGACTGGATGCGCTGGCTGCACTGGATACTCCTCAGTATGCCATGCAGCGCTATCTTACCTTGCAACTCGTCATGGCGCTCAATCCCCAGCCCATTCCGTAAGTAGGTACGTGCGACCTTGGAGTGATATAAATCAAATACCGTACCGTACATATATTTGTATGGTGGATTTGTGGGTAGTGTAACTCTCGCGATGTTCGGGACCGCACCACCGCGCTGGGTCGCTCGATGACATGGCCAAGAAACTCCAGTACATTCCGTTCCAATACACATGATAATATCGAGACTGATACGTACGTCCCCGTGAGTGGTAGAATCCAGCATTGGGCATTTCTGCTTCCCGGTCCTACGATTCTCACTCGTTTCAGACCAATATATCAGGCTCCTTCTCAGGTCCACACCTCGTCCTGTCAATCCCAACACATGCTCACTGCTGTACCTAACCGAATTGACTGGCATGCTGGGAAATGAGCTTCGTCTCCTCTTCTCGTGGCGGCTTCTCTCGTCTGCCTTTTCTTTTTCTTTCCTTAAGAACCAGTGTTTGAGCTGTGGCGTGAGCCCTTGGCGTATCTATAGATAGATAGCAATGCTCGCCCTAGCAAAGTACTTATGTCAGAGTGTGTGGTGCAGTTCGATTCGCCTTGCCCAGCTGTACGTAAGATGCGGGCCTGGGTAGGTAGGTCAGAGTAGGTAGTGCAGCGTCGATCAGCCAGCCAAGCGATGGACGGATGATGATGCATGCGAGCACCCAACAGCGAAATCGTACATAGTAAGTATGTGTAGTATTATTAATCACAACCTTTAGCTTTGGGCTAAGACTCTAAGTAAGATCGAGCATCTAGTGTGTCCCTAGCGCCGCTGGTATATTGGCCTCGGCGAAAGCTCCGAAAGGGCAAAGGCGTCGGAACTTGGCTTGTCACTTGACTTATCAGAAAATAGCGACCCGTCTTCAGCTATACACCAGGCTGGTTAGTATAGGATTCTAGAAGTCGTCACCGTGTATCCCTTACCGCACTAGCCGTGCCGGTATTACGAGCCCTACGTACAGGAGACAAGCCTTCAGTGCCTGGAAATGTAACCTCAGGCTTTTCTGGGCAGATCAGTATCGCACAAACCAGGTTTGACAAGCGAACCTGGCAGATTTTTGGTGCTGTGACCTTGGGGTAGCATTCGGTCGGGGGAGGCATCCAGGGACAGGCATTATTACGCGCCGTACGAAGGGTAAGTGGTAGTGTAGTGTCCACGGTTTTTGTAACTTGGGTACCATTCCAAACCAACTGTAGGTACGTGAAAGTAAATACCTAGTAGAGAGTGTGTACTGTTGGGGATCCCACATTACACTACACGCACGCACGCACGGAACAATGACCAAATGACACATCATCATATCGCAATTACCTGGGTAAGGTTTGTTACCTGCTAGGCACCCTTGACTGGGTTTTATATTATGTGGCACTTGTGGAATTACAGGTACATAGTACCATGATACCTACGGTATTAGGTAGCGGTAGGAAGTCGGGTTGATGTGCGAATTTGTCTTGCATCCATATTTGGATACAGGCTGAGTAAATAAACGAGGTTGGAAGGGAATAGCTGTTAGGCGCATGCATGATGTAAGTACATAGTTGTAGGGTAGGGGAGTACTCTACCGGTACGTGCATGGAGATGCTACCTCTATGTACTTACTTAGGTAGGTATACCTAGATGTAGGTAAGTATATTATGTAGGTAGTGAATTGGGCCTTTCTGATTCTCTCTTCCGTATCGATTTCTGTGCATATACATGGTATGTGCATCGATATCCGCAATGTTCCATTGCACCGATATCTCCCTACTAGCAGGCTGTCATGAACTACATACCCCGGTACCCAGGCAGTACTTATGTATGTGCACTTTAGAGCGCTTGGCTAAGCCCACTGCAGCCAGATAACGATGCCTACCAATAGGTATTCCAATGTAGCCTGCTTCTATTCATGTACCAGTGGCATACAGTGGTTACATAGTAATGGTAGAACCAACTGTCGGTCTGGTCTGGGAGGGCGGACGCAGGAATTGCGCAACCGAGCATTGACGCTTGAAACACCACACAGAACCACGGACACAGACGGGTAGGCGGGTTTCCGGTACCTGGAAAGCACCTTTAATAGGATGTCTGCGCTACTAGGTAGTTAGATCTATTTCTGCTTACGCTTCGGTACCAAGAACCGACTCTCCCTTTCTGCATGAAAGCGTTCGCCGCTAGAGGAAGTCCACCTCAAACTAACAACCTTGAACCTCGTTACATTAAACCTGGGAACTGTTACCCTCCGTTTGCCGTGGGGACTGTAGAAAACTACCTACTCCATACTACTACTACCCTTAGTGTATGTATATGCCTATAGGTTACGATACCTGCCATGTACTTAAGTAGGTACTTGCCTGCCTTAACCTCACCTACCTAGGTATGTACTTAATAACCACCTTCATCCTCCTGTAAGTGGGAAACACATACTTCCTTTACTGAGTACATGTCTTCATATTACTTCCTGTACATACCTACATATTTACATCGGTACCCGTTCTGCGTAGATGCCTACTGTACATAAGGTACATCCATACTCACATCTATACATCAGTACAAGATAGGTAGTAGGTATGTATGTGGCCCCGCCTGCCACACCAGCATACATACTAAGTACTTACATGTAGTATACCGGTAGTACGTGTACAGAACTTGTACATACCTACATACCTACTTCCACACAGGATCATCATCAGCCGTCAACCTCAAGGCTCGACTCGACAGGAAGACCAAGCAGCGATTAAAGTCTCCCCCACCCCCCCCTCGACTCCCGCTTCTGACTCCCGCTTCGCTTCTCGATTGGCCTGCCTCTCCCAGCTTTGCCCTGCACATAATATCCCGAGCTTCGCTGCCCGCATACCAAAACCAACGAGTCACCTTGCGAGACACCCTCGCCCCTCTGTGTCTCACGCTCACGCCCTCTCCTCTTACTTACTACGTACTTGCAGTACATACTTACACAGTAGTACACCATCCCGGGCTATACCGGGCTATACTCGACGACGGACGAAGATCCAGCAAGACAGCGCGAGCCTGCTTTGACACCGCCCGCCCGCACCGCCCATTCCATCCCATCCCATCCCATCCCACCGTCGCCTTCTGTCCACTGCCCGGCCCCGTCCACTCGTCGCCAGCCAAGGGCACCCTCGCGAGCCGCTTGGCTGTCGAGCGCACAGGTCTTCGCAGCCTGCTTCTGACCTCCTGCAACTAACCCCTGGCCTGTACTGCTCCACGTGTTGTGCGGCGTACATAGGGCCGACGAGTAGGCTTGATTATCCTAGAACTGTGCTCTCGCTTCCCTTGCAGCGACAGTCTCCAATTGCTGCATCTTTTCTAGATCATCACCGTGCTATGCACCGACGTTTCCCTTCATCCACCCATATTTCCGCCTTGCGCCCACAACTAGCTGACCTGGTTGTGCCGTATGCGCCACTCAATGACTATTAGTGCCAGTGTCAGCACTGTAAATTCCCCATTGCGGCTGGACAACGAGGTGCATCGCTATCCTGCCCACGCAGACACTAGAATAAGTACTGTTGAAACCTGCAACACTCCCGCCAGTCCCCAAATGTCCATCTTTAACAGTATAGATGTCGCTGAACCAAGGATTGAGTGGCGTTTTACCGCCCGAAATGGATGATACAACCCGTGCCAACCGAAACGGCAGTCCGTCCTCATGGTCACAGAGTCCGCCTGGAGAGGCAATGCCTCACTCTTCGAGCAGAATACCTAGCCGCAGTAGTGCTGGTAACAGTACTCGCGGAAGTCTTCTCGAGCCCGGCTCCTTTCCCCAGGGTTCAATCCGCCCTGTTACACCCGATCCAGCAGAAAACGGATTAGAACCTATGGATGTGAATAATACTGCAGTCACCCGAGCCTTTGGATCTATGTCTTCGCAGCAGAGCTCACCTAGGCCCATTCGTGGGGGAGGGGGAGGAGGAGAAAGAAGAAGGCAAGGAATCGTCTTTCAAGATGAAGTCTTCGGCGAATATAGCTCCTCGCCCAGTCCACCCTCCACTAGGGGAGGGCATCGGCCGCGCACACGTACTCTTGATGAGGCGCTAGCATTGCGTCAGGGTTCGTCGAGAGGGACCACCACCGAAATTCGAAATAGGATGGGATCATTTTCCTCGTCTACCTCGCAGCCATTGATCGAAAGTGACGTGCGTCCGCCGCCTACCGTACTTGAATCTACTGCTTTTGGAGCTGGGGTATCTTCACGACCGCTGGACGTCAGAACCTCAGCTGCACTAGGCAAAGACAGACGTCCAACGCCCAACCGCCTCACGAAACGTAGCTCACCTCGCCCACCATCGCCATTGCTCTCCCCGCCCTCAGTCGACTCGCTTCTTCTTCCCATACCGACCGACGATGCGAACCGAATGTTAGCATTGATGAGGAGGCTATGTGGCAGGATGAAGGGGGAGGTCGAGTATCAAAGTGACCCTAGCGCGCCTTGGTACGAGGGAATATTTTATATTGATGAGGATAAAGGCAGCCTAATGTTCGATTCCGGCCACAATGGCCCTTTTCATATCACAATTATAGGTGACCTGCGTGGGTGTAGGGTCCACCCATGCAAAGCCCCTGGCGATGATAGGAATTGCCTCGAGCTTTCTAGTGTACGAATGGGCGTGGACATTATCTTTCGACCGCTCAACCCTGATGAGATTGACCTTTGGCTTGCTAGTTTGCTTTGCTGGCAGCAGATTCGACCTCCTGGGGCCCGGCTCACGACAGGGAGAGGGCCCAGTTCTCCCGGACTAGTGCGACCATCAGACACAAAAAAGATGCCTTCTGCCGCGATACAAACTGCTAAAGACCCTGCTATCATCAAGGTCGGAAATGTGATGTTGTGGGACAAAGGTGCCGCAACGTCTCCGCGAGCTATCGTCAGGCGTCCGTCCACCCGGGACCTCCGCTCCGGATCGACGTGTTGGCGAAGGGTATCGTGTATATTGCAGGATAACGGCGAATTCAAGCTGATGAATGATGTGACGGTACTCTCTGTTATTGATCTAGGTCAACTTTCAAGATCTGCCATACAAAAGTTGGATAGATCTGTTTTGGAAGAAGACTTTTGCATTGCTGTCTTCCCTTCTTATTCTGCGACGTCTAAGCAGCTCTCGATTTTTCGTCCTATTTACCTCGCCCTCGATTCAAGAGTCCTCTTCGAGGTTTGGTTCGTTCTCCTCAGAGCATTCACTGTGCCCGAACTATACGGCATTGAATCATCGACGGGCCAGATTACCGAGATATTAGATCACAATACCGACTTCGACGGGCAGGTCTTTCGAATTGAGAAGTCCATCCAAGTCAAGGTAACTGAAGCAAAGTTACAACATACAGGAGTTCCTTTAGAACGGAACCAATTAAACCGTAGGGAAAGAGATCCCTTGATCGGGCATTATTTAGCGGAGGTTATCCTAGATGGTGAAATACGGTCTCGCACAACGACACAAGCGGATACGAAGAACCCCTTCTGGCGAGAAACTGCCCAATTTTCCGAGCTACCTGCAACGCTCCCCTGCCTATCCGTTATTTTAAAGAGAATAGATGGAAATATAGACAGCTTAGCCCATCAAGTTCAGGCTTCTCTAGGCTTACCCAAGTCAGGAAACATAACGGAGACTGTGTGTGGAGTCGTTGAGATTCCCCTGGATAAGATGGAGAAAGGTAGGGATTACGAGGAATGGTATCCAATCTACGATGAAAAACAAGAATCCGTGGGGAACATGCTCATCAAGGTTGATCATACCGAGTTGATTGTACTCACAGCCAAGGACTACGAGCCTTTATCCGAGCTTCTCCATCGCTTCAGCACTGGGCTCACGACTCAGATTACACAGTCAACGCCTGGCATGCTGCGACGACTTTCTGAGATATTCCTCAATATCTTCCAAGTGTCTGGAGCTGGTACTGAATGGCTTATGGCCCTAGTCGAAGATGAGATCGATGGTGTGGGCAACCAAAATAGTATGAAGCGGCTGCGATTCAGTCGACGGATGAAGTCAGACGAGTCCTCTACCTCTGCTAGCGACAGAGAACAGCTCGTTCGCGACATGAGCAAGAGCTTAACAGGAGAAGCTAATTTGCTTTTCCGTGGGAACACCCTCCTCACGCAAGCTCTTGAATTCCACATGCGACGACTCGGTAAACAATACCTGGAAGACATCTTAGGCGACAAAATCTTTGAAATAAACGAAATCAATCCGGACTGCGAGGTTGATCCTAGCAGGATCGAGAGAGTTGAAGATTTACCACAACATTGGAAATTGTTGCTAACATTTACATCCGAATTGTGGGAAATCATTGCCGCCTCTGCCAACAAAATCCCCCTCGAACTTCGCAGCGTTTTGAAATACGTCCGAGCCGTCGCAGAAGATAGATACGGTGATTTTCTCCGCACTGTGAACTATACCAGTGTCTCGGGCTTTTTGTTTCTTCGCCTCATCTGTCCAGCGATTCTGAACCCCAAGCTCTTCGGGCTATTACGAGACAACCCTCGTCCTCGAGCTCAACGTACTTTAACACTCATCGCGAAAGGACTCCAGGCGCTTGCCAACCTATCTAGCTTCGGGAAGAAAGAGAGCTGGATGGAGCATATGAACAAGTTCTTGGGGCACCACAGGCAGTCTTTCAAAAACTTCATTGATCAACTTTGCTCCGTCCTAACGGATCGCTACCCTATGACGGTATCTGCGTCCTATTCTACGCCCATCATGATTCTCGGCCGGTTGTCTCCACAAGCCCGTGAAGGGTTCCCTTCATTGCCTTACCTCATTGATCACCAGAGAAACTATGCGGCTCTAGTCAAGCTATGGCTCGATGCGCATCGTGCCTATGCTCCCGACTCCCTTGTATTTGAGGGTGAGCTAGAGGAATTTCATAGAATTTGTGTGAAATTGCAACAACGTTCGGACCAATGCATGGCTCAGGTAGAGATATTCCGGGCCAGTGAAAATGAGTCGGTTGTTACCGATGACCTAGCTGACAATCTAGAGAGGACTTCGCTGCTTGAGTCTCTAAGCCAAAGTTATGCAAGCAGCGCAGTATGGGCAGAAAATGACCCATACCGACCCCCAGGCTCATCCGGGAGTGAAGCCGACCCCGGTAGGGGCACTCAGCGCTCGTTCGTGCGCGAAAGTAGCTCCCTACAACAGCTGTCTGAGGGACTAGATTTTACCAACCCCACGGGAACTATACGTGCAAAATCTAAGGCTGGCAAGGAAACTCGCAGATTCTTGAGCGGGCTCATCGGGAGCAAGAAGAATAAGGGAGGTCCAAATATCTCATCGACAAGACGCGAAAAGAGTAGTGGGAAGGGGGGGGATAAAGGCAATAGAGGCATTCTTGGCAATTCCCCCGAATCGCGACAGCAAAGCAACACTAATTCGAGGCACTAGTTATGTCTCTAACCGACGCTCTTCTCAACTTATATATGTATAATGTTGTCAACGTCTGGGGCTATAAAAGCGTCTATGAGAATCTCAGCCAGAAAACAATGGCAATCAATCAAACTGAATAGAAAGACGGCAACCTCCCAGCCATGAGAGGACTTTACTGTCAAATGTTATATGGCTTTTTTTCCTTTTCGTTTTTCTTACGCGACAACGGTTTTGGCGGCGGAGCTCAAATTGTTACTCAAATTTGGAGGGGTGTTTGAGCTCTGATACCCTGGCATTGAGCATGGAGGGCGGCTTAGAGTCATTTGTGTTTTCATTTTGTCATCTTCTTTTCCTAGAGCAGAGCAAAGCAAGCGTGCATGTTGGTATTTTGGAGAGGAAAAAAGCGATCATTTATACAATTTTTTTTTTCTCTCGCTGGAATTTGCCAAGTAGGGGAAAAGAGATATTTGGATCAACTCACGTCGCTTCGACCCCCACCCAACCCCTTCTGGGAGATACACCATGTATATATATATCTTGAGTTTAGAGATGAGATACGCAAAGATGAGGATGAAAGATTTTCGCAAGTGGGGGAAAGATTAGATAAGATGAATGGGAAGAACAGAACCATGATATTGATTGAGAGTGATTGATTGATTGATTGGAAAAAAGAAAAGAAAAGTTGGTAGAAACTAATTTTTTTTTTTTTCACTCCACTGATCACTGCTGGGTGTTTTATAGACGAGATGAGTTGAGGGTGTAGATGAGGATGGAGATGCAATAGATGATATCCCCGCGGAATAAATGGAATCGTCGTTGAATGGATCTTATGGTTTGAGTGAGTGAAAGAATGAGTAAATGAGTAAATGAGTGATGGATTTCATTTTCAAGGACTATTCATGTCGTCATGAGTATGATCAATAAATGAGATGATTCTATTAGTTGCATCTTCTTTCGGGAATATTTCAACAATGGAGTATGACTTAACCTATTCTTCTCGTACTGTATCGAACCATGCCGAGTCTTAAATAAATATTTCTTAAGTGCTAGTATTCTTAGAAATTATTTTCTTCATTTTGAACAGGTAGTACACCTCACCCTACACAACTATCTGTCTGTTCGCTTACTATTGAGGGGGTTGTTTGCGGCATCTAACTAGGCTACATTGCCCCAGAGCTAGGTGAATGATGATGTCCCCAGCGAAGCTTGATTTGTTCTGTATTTTATCCATTTCGCAACGCCGTGCCATCCATCCATACCGTAATTCCTTCCGTCCGTCATACCTACACTCAATCATTCATAGATCCTAGGGACACCACTAACTGCTACACGGAACGAGATGCGGTAGCAGGCGGGATGGGGAGGTAAGTAGACTAGCTTGGCCAACCGAAGCCAGGTCTCGCATTAGCTTGGCTGATGAGAGGATGTCATTAACATTTATTTAACTCTTTCTTTGTTGGGTCTTTACGAGAAGAACTTCTTGTAGGCAGCTTTCTCCTTGGCCAGACGGGCGGCGGCCTGCTTCTTCACGGTGTTGAGCTCCTTGGTGATAGCGGCGTCACCAGGGACGAGCTTCTGCGCCTCCTCTAGCGCCTTGACGGCTTCATCTTCGTCCTTCAGCTTGATGAGGGCCAAGCCGCGACGATACAGGGCCTTGCCCTTCTCAGCGTCTGATATGCCCGAGACGGCGAGGGCCGAGGCGGCACTACTCTCGGCGTCCTGCCAGGCCTCAAGCTTGAGGTTCAACAGCGCTGAATTGCAGTTCAGCGTGAAGCGCAGGGCTGACAACTTCGTCTTCACGTCCTCGCTGGCCTCGCTTAGGTCCGGGTCCTCGTTAAGATACCGCAGGCCCTTCTGGTACTTCTCAAGACCTGTCAGGACATCGCCCGCCTTGAATGCCTTGTTGCCGAACTCCTTGCAGTCCGTGGCGATTTGTAGAATCTTGGCGGCATCTAGCGGCTCATTGGCCGTCTCGTCCTCAGGGAAGTCCTCGTATGTGTCGCCCAGCGGATCCGCGGTCTTGACCTCCTCTTCAGCGGGCCCCGTAAGCTCACCGCAGTTCGTGATGGTCGCATCTTGTTGGGGCTTGTCGTTTTGCGTCTTCAGATTCTCGATCTGTCGCACGATCGACTTTCCTGTTTTTACCTCTCCGAAAACGACGTGCTTGCCGTCCAGATGGGGCGTCGGGACCGTGGTGATGAAGAATTGGGATCCGTTGGTACCTGAAGGCACACCTTTGTTAGCCAGCTCGCTCAATTCCCCAGACTATACACCTCTGGTATGGTATAGGTCGTGTGGAAGGTAGGGGTGTGGGTAAAGCCTTACCAGGTCCAGCATTGGCCATGCTCAGCAGGAAGGGCTTCTCGTGCTTGAGCTCAAAGTTCTCGTCCTCAAACTTGGCGCCGTAGATGCTCTCGCCGCCGGTGCCATTACCCTCGGTAAAGTCACCACCCTGAATCATGAACTGCTTGATGACACGGTGGAAGCTGCTGTCTTTGTAGGTGAGGGGCTTGCCGCTCTTTCCGAGGCCCTTCTCGCCAGTGCAGAGACAGCGGAAGTTCTCGGCTGTCTTAGGAACGATGTCATCGTATAGCTCGAAGGTGACGCGGCCGGCGGCCTTCTTGCCGATTGTGATGTCGAAAAAGACACGGCTGCGCTTCTTGGTCTCCTCGGCCATTGTGTTGAGGAGTTACGTTGTAGCACGGTCGGTTTGCGTATCGGATTGGCGTGACTAGAGTGACGATGCAGAAGCGAACCTTGATGGCAGAATCAACCAATTGTTTGTAAGCTGGTGCAACTTGGTTGGCAGTTCAGACTGCTGGGGTTTGATTTGAGACTTGAGTTATGAGCCGAGCGGAGAAGCGAGAAGAAAGAAGCAAATCACGGTTGCGGTAGGCCTGGCCTGTGGAATGAGGAATGAGGCTGAGAGCAACAGAAGCTTCTAGGAATCTAGGGAACGATGAGGAACATGGTACCTACCGTACTTAGTACAGTGGGGGGTTCTTAGCGGGGGAGGGGTTGCTGTGTCAGAGTGGGTGGTTGCCTACAAAGTGCCTACAGAGTGCCTGCTATGTACTGTAAAGTACCTTTGTGGTAGCGAGGGGCAGAGCTTTGACCAATCATCTTTCACACTTTTGGGTCCTGGGTCAGGGGTCCCGGCTCTGCACTGTAAGGTACATACAGTGCCCACTTCTACCAGTAGGTATTCTGTTCTATCTTCCTCAGATACCTAGGGGTAGTTACTTACATACATACTAAGTACATATGGATGTATGTAGGTATCGGTATGTAGTAGGTAGGTAGGTAGTAACTTATCGGGCAGGATATGTAAAGTTACCTAGTAGACGTTGTACGCCAGTAACAGTCGTAACGTTCTTCTGCTCTTGGTCAGAGAGGTGAGGTCCATATAACCACGAAAAGTGAAGTGATAAGTACTCATCTAGGCTGGTAACGCTGTAAAACTACATAGTACGAACGTGTCCCTCACCCGCAGATGTCACACCAGGTCCAAGAGACGGGAGACGTGTCTCGGTACCTTTCATGCTTAATCCGGCATTTGCCGAGAGGTGGTCTCTCAGAAGAGGCTACTTAGTAGTAATGACAGCGGTGAGTGGTAAAGGGACAAGTTGGCGACTTAGATGATCGTCTTAGGCACACATCTTGTTGGGCTTTAGAATCTAGCAGCTACCTCGGCGAGGTGGATAGGATTGTTGTGTCAAAGACAGTGATAAATGATTTACATGTACTTACTGCCTTTCCATCTGTACTGATCGTATTGCCTCATGTCTCGGTGTGTTGAATCGTGATAAATATGGGTTATGACAATAAGTGATCACAGTGCAGCCAACCAGCGATAAATAGGGGTAAATTCTCATACAGATATATTCAAAGATAGATACAGAATTAGTGCGCAATTCCACATGAAATAATAAGTGGGGGAAAGTGGCTTGAACTCATCAGATCGACTGCCTACCCTGATTCAACTGTAGAGGCGTAGGAGATAGATAGCAACAGTGGTTGTCAATACAATTTTCTGATTACCTGCTGGCCATTTGTCCCCCAATTGACAGCCAGTCCTGAACCAAGAGGATGGCAATTCTCTATGGAATCCAATCGAAGGACTGTAGGGGTTTGCATCGCGTTCAATCCATCCTTGACGAGGCGCTCCAGCACAACAGGGACGGGCTTAGGCGTCGGAACACAGTTTATTCAATGGCCAGTGGTAGAGTGAAAATGAACAAATTTCGTACATAATAATGTAGTATTAGTCCGTCGTACAATCTCATGAATGAATTATCAAGTGACACCAGTTGGATGGCTAGCAACTAGGGATGCGATTTCTTGGCCGACGGGTTTGCTGCGCTGTTATAGGATTTGGGGGTCGGGAATTCATGTATGTGAACACTAAGGTAGCGAATAGGAGTCGAGACCAAGGCCAAGAATAATGAGGCTGTCAGAAGCAAAATTCACGACTGGAAACACATATTACCGTAGACTCTCTGCTGTGCAAATGACTGAAACACAGGTGGCGACACCCTGGGCACCGCTGTTGGACCGGAACGAGTGCTCGAAAATACACACAATTCATGTCATGGTATAGTTGTCACTGAACAGAGCGAGATGACAGGACAGGCCAACGCACACATGGCAAATCGCCTAACGATAGGCCGCCAACCGTCCTCACCGCCGCCTTCAAGTTGAGGGTGGATTTCGGCCCAAAGCCTGACCCGTTCTACTCCTGAAAACGTCAGGTCGAAAGCTGGGACATTGGCGAACGTACATAATGCATAAGTAGGAAGATGGAGATGCACAACTGGCCGAGTTGTGATTCGAAGCTCAGATCACAGACCCCGCCCCCCGACCGAAAAATGATATACGCCCCGTTGAAAAGCCGAAAAACAAAACCATGGCGCGCCTCCACTATATACAAGCTTTCATGAATTATCTTCAAGTCCTCGTATGGAACTACAGTCTGGCCGTTGCAAGATTACTTACTAGGCTCAGAAATGCGCCATCATTGAAACCTACAAACCGAAGAGAGATACAGTATTTAATCGGCATGGCTGAAGAAGACGATAAAAGACCTGAATCGTCGTAAGTGGAAGACTGTCCAAAATCCTTCGAGATACATATATTCTAACTTTTGATATAGCCCGTTCGCGGGGTTTACTACCCATATCTACTTTCGTGAAGGCCCAGACTTCGTTGTCCCGACTTCTCTGATCCAGAAATGTCCCAAACTCGTCCCGGACGGTGCACGATGGCCTCCTTCAGCAATACGGGTAGACGATGTCACCTCGAACATCGCCCAGTGAGTCCCCTAAAGTCATTTGCTTTCATTTTGAGCAGGTTTCAGACCTCAATGCCCACATAACTTTGACTGTCTGGCAATTACTAATTTCAGCGTGTGAACAGCATCATTTTCTATTACCTTCTCACCGGCACCTACCAGAGCCTGCGGCCAAAAGGAAGTTCTCACGAAGAGAAGCTCGGAAACGAATTGAAGACTGGCGTCCAATCATACAACGCCGCCCGGACCTACGAGCTGCCAGCCCTGCAGGAGCTCGCAAAAGACGAGATACAACGACTGGCACAGGAGCTCCCTTTCCCGCTCGTGCTGAATCTTCTGCGTAACTTGCACTTAGATCCATGCGAGAGGGAGACTTGGCTCGACGACTACGTGCAAGCGGGTCTGAAGCATTTATTCCAGACCCCGACGGCATTCCTAGACCTTACAGCTGCCCAGGTAGAGCACGATGTGGTCTCGTTCAGCAATATAATTCTGAAGAGTCTGGCCCACTTGCTTTCCAACGAAGTGGTTCTAACTCAGAAGGATATGCCGCCTATGCCGACTCTTGAGCCTGCCGCGATTGAAGACCAACCGAACCATCAGGAGTCTCTCCGCGAACAACTGCTTCGTGAGGAAACACCCGGTCTCGTCGAGGCTGCAGCCCGCAACGAAGAGCCGAATCATTATGCAGAGGTCTCAGAGCCTATAAAAGAGCCAGAACTACCCGAGATAGAGGCTGAACCCGCACCAGTAGCTGAGCCTGCGCCTGAACCAGAACCGGAGCCGGCGTTGGAGCCTGTTATCGAGCAGCCTGCACCGGAGCTTAAGCACGACCATGCCTACGACCATATTGACGAGCCCGTGCCCGATCTCACAGCAGACGAACCTGCATCTGAGCCCGCGCCTGAGACCAAATCTGAAGAACCCGGGGCCTTCACCACGTTTGGCGCCAAGAATGGTTTCAAACCCTCGATATGGGACTGGGGCACCGACACCACCAAGCCGAAGACAGAAAGCCCACAGCCCGAAGACGAGCCCATCAGCTCACCCCCTGCTCTAGTAGAATCTCCACCCGAGGCTGTCCCTGAGCCGATCCCTGAAGCCCGCGATACCCCCATCGAATACCCCGAGCCCGTCTCCGTCCGCGACTTCTCGCACGTCCTCGAGCATCAGGCTCCAGCAGACGACATCGCAGTGCCCTCCACGACTACCCCGGAGCCGACGAAGCGCGCCGAGACGCCGGTGGGGAGGACGGACAGCAAGAAGAGACTGTCCCTCTTCCGCTTCGCGACCGAGCCGGCAGACAAGTCGGCGGACTCGCGGGAAAGCAGCCGTGTGCAGACCCCCGAGCCCGCCAAACCCGTCCCTGTCGAGGCCCCCAAGGTCGAGCCCAGAGTCGAGGATAACAAGGGTGTGAGCGCGGACGACGCCGCGAGCCCTGGTTCGTCAGCGTCGGCGGCAGCGGACAAGAAGAAAAAGAAGAAAAAGAAGAGCTTGTTCTACCGCTCCGATGTGCTTTGACTATACGGCGCCGTCGGTATACCCAATACATTTTGGATGTGAGGAGAATGGGAGTCGTTGGATAACTGGATGCTGGACACTGAGGAAATTGTATGATTTGGTATATTGGCATATATGACCTGTTAAGGTGGATGAATGCATGGAGGAAAGAGTCGATTTGTGATATACATTGGGATTAAGGATATTGTGTAGGGATTACTGCTTGACGACCACGCTCTCTTTCTTTTGTTTATCTCTTTCGCTTAGTACATAGGACAACTGGCTGGGCGGTATCTGCGATTGAATTATATAAAAATGATTGTTTTCCTTGTATGACTACTTACACATTTAATTGGTATTCTTGTCAGCGAAGCATGTTTCTAAATCTTCGGTTACTCAATCCATCTATGTGAACCTGTTTCGTGAAGAATGTCATTGCGTTCTGCTTGATGAATGGCCTCCTTGATACTATGTGAGAACTCTTGGACGTTGGCTTTGTCTCTGGAGAAACTCAACGAGTCTTTGTCGTGATCACACGAGAGATCGACCACAGTGAAGCCAGGCATCGTAGCTAGAAGTTTTCGAAGCTGGCCTAGTAACCTCTTATGCGGAAATCGGTTGTTGAAGTGGTTTCCTGATCACCGAGGCCCTTTGAATGTCCAGGATCGCGCTTAATACCCCGCAGTACAGTACACCCTAAAACAGGTCATGGCAGGCTGCAGCGTAATGATGTGGCCGAGCAGCAGGATGCTATGATGCGGACAAATGCCCGCTCTGCTGCTGCGGGAGTGTCAGGATAATAGAAAATCGGTATGGAGTTGTTGTTCGGGGAGCGACGGCCACGTGCAATCGAGCATTAGTCAACCTGTGCTGGGGTTAGGTCACAATTGACTACCACCGGAAAGTTGCTGAATCTGCAATATGAGTCACAGGAAACGTTTATAGAACTTGGAACAACCAACTATGATGCCGACTTTATAACAATTTGCTCAATGGGTTACAAAGCTATTGAAAGGTGCCCGACGCTAAGACGACTGCATCGTCATCGTCGGCTTCGGGTAAGCGCCGTGCCGAGGCCGAGGTCGCGGGAGATTCATTATGTGACGCGGGCTTGAATATCAAGTATATAGGCCGCTGTACAGATTTCTTCTCTGCGTTGGACAATAGTTCAATTTTTACGGATCAGCAAGCTACGTCACCAAGAGTATACGCATCATACGGCCGTCACAACACTCTCATATAGACACGATGGCAACAAACAGCCTCGCAGCAGGCTATGTCTTAGTCGAAGGGTACCCTTCAGTAGAAGACTACCGGAACCTACGAGAACAGAGCGGCCTATCACCCAGGAATGAGGAACAAGCCACCAAGAGCATCGCAGGTAGCTGGTACGGCGTGTACATCGCGGAGGAGACAGCACCTACGAAGGCCGTGGCCATGGGTCGGGTTATTGGCGACGGCGGATGGTATTTCATCATCGCCGACATGGCGACTCTCCCGGCGCACCAGAGGAAAGGTCTTGGCGATGTCGTCTTGAAGAAGCTGCTTGCGGAGATCGAGAGGCGCGCGGCTGAGGGGCAGGCATATGTTACGCTGGGTGCTGACCCGCCGGGACGTAAGCTGTATATGAAGAACGGGTTCCAGGATACGATGCCGGATACTATGGGGATGGAACGTCATGTACAGGGCCAGGGCCAGGACCAGTGATCCGCCCTAGGCTTGTGAGTGAGTGATTTGCTATTACATCGTGCATGGCGGCGTGAAATGTGTTTGTGTCAAGTTCATATCGTGCTGATTTTGAATAGAATATCCAGACTTGTACACATATTCGGCCATTCGTGGCGCAGTGTGGTGTGAGGTGCACGGGACAGCTATCTTTCCGCCAGATCGGCGAGCCTTCCGGTCCTTCTCTGGCTATGTGTGTACCGTGTCGCGTGTCTCTAAGGGCGACTCTTGGTTGATGACAGCTGTGGTAAGTCAGCCTCAGGCAATGATCTACCGGTATACAGGACGCGCGGAGTAATACAGTGTGCGTCCTAGCATGAGCGTCTTACTTGTGGACAAGGCAGATCCACGACTGTCCGATTGATCAACCAAAACGCCGCAGCTTAGTGCGAGAGCCCAGTCCCTTTTCCATCACTCATTCTGACATTCTTTATCGTAAGCTGTGCCATTACGGTCAGCCTGGAGCAGAAGGCAGCTTTGTGTCTCGGATTCGCTTGAGACAGGTTATGAATGGCGACTGTATAACATGGGCTGGCGCCAGGGCCTGGAATTGGGGCTATTCGCAAGGAACCCTTCCTAGCTTAGGGGCTACCTCTGACTCTATATATAATTGGACTGGCTTTTCAAATTATGGAGGTCTGCAAATAAGTCTCAAATAAAAGAGGGCTGAATAGCTTCATTTTCCATAGAAACTATATGCCTTACTAGAGGTCTTTCGCAAGTTGTGCGGACAAAGTCCGTAGGGAGTAAGATGTTTGTAGCGGTCAGCGTGTGTGACAGATTTTGATGATAATCTGTGTAGCTCTACGCCATAATGTCGAACCATGCTCGCCAAACACCTCACATAGCCACCTTCGCTGTACGCCAGTTATGTGACCATGTTTCGAGTATTAATCTACGAATATAGCTGCTCTCTGTGACAATATCTATATAATTTTCGTTCCGGCTCATTTTGCTGTATCCCTGTACACGGCAACTCGCCCTGCTCATTCTCTTCTGATATACAGATCATCTAAGTCTAGAGGATTTCCAGAAGTCCATCACAACCAAATGGCTGCCGATTCTAGTCCTCCCTCGTATGCGTCGATAGACAATGGGACTCATTCTCATTCGTACGATATAACATATCAATCCCCTCGCTTAGAGCAGACAGCTCCATCCACGACTATGTCTCTACACGAGCAGCATGAAAACGACTCAGCGCATGGCAAACGGCACTTCTTCTTTCACGGTTGGGTCACGGAAATAACCGCCTCATTATTTTCTGCAGCATGTCTTGTTACAATCAGTATTTTACTGGTTATCTATCACGGACGCCCTGTTACCAGCTTTCCAGACGGCATCACTTTGAACACAGTGGTCGCTGTTCTTACAGCGGCTTATAAAACCGCGCTGCTATATACCGTATCTTCCGCAATTGAGCAGACCAAATGGAACATATTCGCAGCTCGAGGTCGATGTCTTCGGGAATTTGAACGCATAGATGAGGCTGGAAAAAGCCTTCACGGAGCCCTGAGCGCGCTGATCAACATCCCATGGTCTATCGCCTCGCTAGGTGCAGCCATAATCATCCTAGGATTTCTCATAGACCCCTTTGCGCAGCAACTTATAAACTCGGTCCCTTCTCAAGTCGCAATCAAATCCGATTCTGTATGGACCGAGGTTTTTACCAATTTTGACATAACTCCAAGCATAGACGAATATTTATCCGAAATCGTTGAATACTTAGACAGCGCTCTCTTCAGTAATGCCAGTCTTTATGATAGACAGGCTCATTGCCCAACCGGCAATTGTACGTTTCCATCGGTTGAGAGCTTGCAATGGTGTGCCAAGACAGAAACCATCGATGTAAACAGAGTAACCTCGAATTGCACGGGCGAGGATAGGGTTGATATTTTTTCCGAGATCAAGGAATATCAACTATCCACTGGAAATGCCAGGACTAAACATCGGCGTTGCGATTTTTTCTTGGATGGGGACGAACGGCCACTCACCGGTCTCACCCAATCCTTTACAGTTGGGACTGAGGCTGAACGGTATGGCACCGGCTTTCCCCATGATCCGGGAAGTAACAAGCCTATTTCTTTCATGACATCTCCCACAGAATTTCTGCGAGCAGACTACGGATGGGGGGTGACTGGGGACAGTACATGTGACACGTGGCTGAACATATCCTGTCCGCCAGCAGTGCTTACTTACGTGCGTCTTAATGGAAGCGATCTAGACGTCACCAGACCAGAGTGGGCAGAACAGTCCGTGTTAACCCTCTGTAACGCCAAGTTAGAAGTGGTCGTCAACTCGGGACACACGACTACTAAACCGACCTCTTTGCAACATGGTCGATTCCTGCTCAATGGCCCGTGGGGGGAGTTGACTCACACACCCGCGAAACTCTGTTTTATTCCAGGCGAAAACAGCAAGGAAGGTTCACTGGATGCCGTTAGACATACCCATGAACAAAAACCACAGCATTCAAACTCAAGCTTGTCGTTCTGCTGGAATAAACCGAATGACTATATCGAAATGAGTTCGCCCGGCCCTTTTTGGTGGGATCTCTTGTTCTTTGGTCTAGGCGTCTTTGCCGAAAACAGGGTTGTAGCCACCAAATATGAAGTATCGGAGAACGGAACATCAGACTTTTACTATACTTACATGGACAGTTATCAAGATTTCATATGGGCGATGTGGGCGAAAAACCTGACTGGTGTCATGGAAAGCCTAGTGGCAGCCATGAATAGCGCGTCGAATATGTATAGCAACAAACGTGTGACTGGGAGCTATCTTCAATACGAGACGATATTCCAGATAAGATGGGAATGGATCGTTCTACCTATCCTGCTTAATATCCTCGCGATTGTGCTCCAGATCGTCGTCGTCCGGCAGAGCAGACTGTTGGGGCAAAAACAGCTCTGGAGGGGATCGGTACTGGCTGCTCTCTACCATGGTGTGGATGATAGAACGGTTCAGTCTCAAATGGATACTATCGCCGACATGCGAAAGGATGCTGACAACAGGGTTGTGAGATTGCAGCTTTCAAAGAATGGGAGAGCTATGCTGATGCCTCAGTCTACTCAATCGCCAGCGTGAAGCGATGAAGCGGTCCTTGTAGGACATATTATTGAACCCCGGCTGATTGAGTAACCACTTTCACTGTTGCTTTGCATCATTTAGTTGAGTTAATGGAACTGATATAATTTAGTGGTATTATACTCCGTCTCATAAGAGTGAATTTGAAGATGCTGTGGTTTGATGATGGGAACAACTGATCAGTGCGGCTGACGTTGCGAGGTATCTATTTTTAGGCCAAGTACCTACGTAGTAGAAATGGAAAGTACCGTTAGGAAAATACAACAACTTTGCATACATCTCACTAGTAAAATTAAGTATTTATCTATCATCGACATCACTTAGTAGAGTACCTAGCTATACTTAGTGTACTAACACGTAGTTAGGTCCCACCGTCACCTCTACAACTACCTACAATACAACGAGATGGCCATTCCATGACACCGATATTCATCCCTTGTTAGCTTGGGCACGTGGGCCAACGGATATGAACACGAAGTCGACAGCGTTCAATCCCTCACTATAGTTTCGCTTCGCTTTTCTTTCGTTCCTTACGTTCCTGTGACTGACGAGGAGTATCCCTCATTCGTGGCCCACATGCTCAAACGGCATCGACTCTCATTCCCACCTCGTCACCTTGTGTTCTTCCGCGCAGCCTAAGACCACCACACTTCGCATAGTCTCACCCATGCACCACCTACACCGCGTCGCCTTTGTCGTCGCTACCTTTCTTATTATCGTCCTTCTCTTGACAGAACTGCCGCGTGCTCTCAACCCGGTCCCGCCCAGCAAGGAGAAGGCTGACGCCGATCAGCGATGGGTCAACACGTCGCCTTACTGGCTTGATCGCCAGGCATGTCGCTGGCTGAGTATATGTGGACTCATGCACCTCAAACCAGATCCACCTGAAAGAGTCGGGTCTGCTAAAGAAGATGCGTGCGCAAATGCGGGTGCTATGAGGCGTCAATCTGTATCCTCTGCTCCCCGCGCGGATGTTAGAATTCACATGAGTAACGAGACGAAAGAGTTAAGGGGGGTACCAGACTATGTGCTCAATTACGCGCCGCTAGTTCATCTTTACTCGGGGGAACACTTTTGGCCCTCCGATATAGAAGATCATATTAGGCATGTAACGCCATATGCCGATGGCATGCTGCTCAATCGAACAGAAGCCGTGAATCTAGCAACCTTGAACCAGTTGGACATGCATCCCGGGGTTACGTTTCTTACGAGCAACGATAATGTTGAGTGCCGCCCACCATGGCTTCACAGTGCAGCGAACATCCCTGTCCCCTTCGAGCACGGAACTGATGACTACGATGTCGATATTGGAACCTCGGAAAGAAGACCGCTTCATGAATACTCAACTTGGTTTGACGTCGATAAAGAACATCCATTGCACCGTCTTTCGTATCCGGGCGAACAGCCCGATCGTGGAGCACGTATTCCGCCATTTTCACGTCAATCATATGCTTCACGATCTCGTGAACGACACCGGATTGCGACTCGGGACACACAGAATAAACCTAACGAAGAGGGTTACTCCCGAGCACCAGCAACCCTCATTTTAGTAGACAAAGGGTCGGGTGTTGTTGATGCATTTTGGTTCTTTTTCTACTCATATAACCTGGGACAGACTGTCCTTGGTACTCGGTATGGAAACCACGTGGGGGATTGGGAACATGCAATGGTTCGGTTTATGGCAGGTGAGCCTCGTGCTATATACTTCAGTGAGCATGAGGGAGGCCAAGCGTATGCCTGGCAAGCTGTGGAGAAGCGTGGAAACGCAACAGAAATTCAACGGCCGGTCATTTACAGCGCTGTCGGCAGCCATGCTATGTACGCCATGCCCGGAAATCATCCTTATGTCCTACCATTTCAGATGCTGAAAGATGTGACGGATCGTGGACCGCTCTGGGATCCATCTAAGAACTTCAGGAGTTACTGGTATGACTATTCAGCTATGGAAGGAGAAGGGTTAGAACCAACGAAAGAGAACCCCGATGCTCCCACAGGTTGGTTCCATTTCAACGGCCGATGGGGCGACCAGATGTATGGTCTTGATGACAGGCGCCAGTGGAGGCTCTTCGGCCAGTACCATTATGTGACCGGTCCCCAGGGACCCAAGTTTAAGAATCTGGGAAGGCGGGAAATGTGTCTGAATTCAAGGTGTCGAATATTACATTCCATTGCTGAGGGTATGAAGGGAAGTTGGTTTTCATAGAAGCATTGATTTTATCGGCGTACGAGAATAGAGCAGGCAGGCAAGATACCCAATAACATGATGCATTGAGATCGGCGGCGCCGAACGATTTTTATACCTTCTGGAAGAATAGATCGCATGACATGGTCCTGAACCATGGTACCGATACCCTGGAACTGGCACACTCCAGGCCGCAATGATGTTGCTCAGGTTCTGCTTGGGGTAGCATCATATACACCACACCAGTTCATAACAGTACCATCAGATGATGCAAGCAGCCAGGCCTCGGTGTACGGGGTATCGTGTTGCTCGCTGATTACAGTAAGTCAGCTGTAAACGCCAACTCCACATCTCCTCATTCCATGTCTACCCCAGACCTAGGGCTCCCATGACGAGCTTCGCCTTCAACACGCTCATCGGCCAGGTTAATGAGATTGCCGTGAACGCCGTGAAGTGGAAGTACTTCCTGCTGTTCGCGATTGCGAATTTTACTAATGCAATCTTCATCCACTTGATCTTGCCCGAGACGAAGCAGTTGCCGCTCGAGGAGATGAATTACCTGTTTACCCATGAGTCGTGGATTATCGCGCGTGTTGATCTGCAGAAGTACACGGCGCATCTGGCGGCTGACGTGGAGAGGAGAGCTGCGGGGATTAGGAAGAAGGATGAGTTGTAGAATGAAGTGGTGGGAGAGGATGGGTGTTGGAGAAGTAATGTAGGGGCCTAGCTGATGTATTTATTCGTTCGTATCTTTAAGCACTGTAAACATTTTTTTATACTACCAAGCTGAACTAATGTACTCGAGAGAAATCTTGAAGGAGTACTCGACTAGAATGTAAGCCGGATGTATTGAGCCATAAACGTCGACCATACAACAACAGCGCGTTAGAAACAAAACTATCATAGAAGTGAAAAAGAGAAAAGCCGCGTTAATTTCATACGATATGATTTATTCCCGACATTCTGTAACACGACTGAACATATAGGTATATGTTACTCCTGCTAACCATATTCCAGAGTTCCCTAGGCGACAATATCGGAGTACAGGAAAGCCAAAAACGCCATCTCATACCACTTATTCTTAATTATGACCTACCCAGGTACTGCCTTTATGCGATGTTGAGTATACCCGCCTAAAAACATTCAATGCACTGGTAACAAGGAGGTTGCTTTGAGTCACCATGGTTTGATATTTCACATAGCTTGGTGCCTGACCTCACCTCGTTTCGGGATTTCAGGCTGGAAATAGGTAACTGGGCAATAGGCGTACGAGTACAGGAGAGAATGGCCAATAATCTTGGTAATGGCAATTCAAAGCAAGCTGTTCTGCTTTAGTTGTAGGTCGCCCTTTTCCGAATCGCCCGGCAACAGCATGAACAAACAAATTTCAAGGAAGCAAGGGGATGTCAGGCCATCTCTGATAAAAGACCTTATATAGCCAGGTAGACTAAGCTGCGCATTATGAGCTCGTCAGTAGCGCAGGTGCTATCCAATGAGAGAACTCCAAGCAAACAAAGCTACAAACAAACATAAAATATCAACCAACTACGGCATAATCAACAATTATGGGAGCAAAATACAATGCAATGCACGCGGTTGCTTAGCTGTCTGATCATACAATATATATATATATATACATATATCATATGCCAACAACTATTGTAGAGTTTCAAGTTGTTCTGGTCGACCGCATGATAATAAGTACCTCTTTTGCTCGTTGTCGTCCCAAACTGTCACTCTCTACTTTGCTTTGAAAGAGAAGCTCAGACCCGCCAAAGCAAAGCACCAGTGGTCAGCAGCGGCGCATTAGCCAAGAACTAACTGTCAGACTTCAAAGGGAGCATTTCTGTGGTCGGCCCACTCATTAGACCAACATCTCAAAGCCATACCTATCGGATTTCAGGCATTTAGTGCAGGTGGGCAAAGAGGGTAGAGCAAAGGAAAGCTGAGGAATCAATTCCGTCAGGGAGACCCCACCACGCTACCACTGCCGGAACGTCACGACACCCCAAATCGCGTAGCTTTAGGTGAATAGCTACCTAAACCCCTCTAGGCCAGTGCGCTAGCTCCCTTACGTACATGGTCATTTAGTGACTGACTTAGCTACTGACTTCGTGACCTACAGAGGGGTGCACACTTATCTGTAGACCACACCACCCTCTGTCTCCTCTTGCACCACACCACCACCACCACCCACAATCACGATCGTCACTCTCACCACCACCACTACCTCCTCTTGCCGCTCCTTACAAGACCCCCAGATACACGGACATCATAGAAATACGACAAAGCGACCCCTCTCACTGTCTTTGCGGTCTGTGAATTCGACAGCCACGTTCAACCAGTCAGCGGCGCAAACCGAAAAAAGTACCCCACTGTCAACCAAACACTGTCGATTCATTCCTCTCTCCTTCGTCGCCATGAACCCTCACCAGAAGAACAAGATTGACATCTCGGTTAGTCCTCCAGCTCTTTGATGCTTTAAGCCCTCACACGCCTCAATGATGCAGACTGAGCGCATAGAGCTCTGCTGGTCTTCACCCCACGACTAGGGTTTATGCGCTTTACCTTTGTCCTCGCCCTGCTTCCCAAAGTTCTACGCAGATCCCATTTCGAAGCAAAGCCCAGCCCAACCCAGTCTGATCAAACCATACAATAAACATGCCACACTAGAGTTGCAACTAACACCCCTCTTCTTCTCCAGTCTCTCACTCCGGATGAGCAGCGACTCTTCCGCCTCTACGGCAAGCTGCCCTCCAAGTCGGACCACTTCGCCAAGCACCTAAAGGAGCGCAAGTACTTCGACAGCGGCGACTACGCTATGTCTAAGGCCGGAAAAGGCGACAAGCTGGACACGGGAAGCGTCGGCAGCCAGCACCCCGTCCCTGAGAACATCCCTCACTTATCGAGCCCGAGCCAGAGCGCCGGCGGCCTCAATGGCGGGCCCGGCCACCAGCACCACCCCAGCATCAGCAGCGGCACCAGTGGTCATCAAATCAGTGGTAGCATTGGTACCTCGGGCAGTCCTGTGAAAGAGAGCAGCTTGTTCAAGAGCGAGTCGAGCACTACTGATGACGCCGATGTCGAGAGCGAGGGACAGACGCAACAAGATACGCCCGGCGCGGATACCGCTGCTAAGCCCATTCCTATCCGAAGATGATGCGGTACTACACTGTTCACTTTGGGTATTTGCTCTATTGCGGCTGCGTTGATGATGTGTTGATATTGGGTGGGTAGCCCAGCTGGTCACTCCCAAGTCGAAGAGCATGGCAACAAGCAACGGGCATGGCCTAGCATACAGTGATTACAAAGTGTCAGACTGGAGTCGGGCGTTGGGTTCACTGCAATGTTGCATACAACTATCACCACCACAACACCCCTTTACCTAGGCTCTGGTCCTGGCTGCCTAGGTGTTATGCGTTTCTTGGTAGGGATTGTGTGAATCCTCATTTTTTTGGTCCCAAAATTGGCTCCGCGAAAACGGCAAGGCAAAAGAAGGAAACCACGGCGAAGCGCAGTTTTGTAGGATGTAAGGGAGAGCGGGCTCGTTTCCATGATGAATTTATGAAGTTGCTTGATGTGAATCGCTGTCGTTTCATTTATTTATCTACATCCCCTTTCGCGGCGGGATCTCACGGCGTTAGGGTTTTGCTTTCTCACGAGATTTTCCCCAAATGAGATTGGTCTTCAAGAGACTGTGACAGTAAGGCAGAGAGAGAAGGGTGGAGGAGAAATGTGAATGAAAAAGTAAGAGGTGCATTGCAGTTTGGAAATACTGCGTGCTCTCATCACTTGTCTCTATCACTAGAATACTCGCTTAGTTGATGACTATATCCATCCTCTCACCTTTTGCTCTGCTCGTTCAACGTGTACTGTGTACTATATAGCATAGCATAGCATAACAAAATATAAACCTAGTGGCCGTCGAATTGCGTCTGAGATGTTGGCTGAGCGGCATCGCTGACCGAGTGAACGTCGGTTGGTATAAGTTGACATACACATGATATTAAGGAGCATTTATCTAGAAAGACATAGTTATACAGAAAGTACACTTTCTATACTCATGTTGGGTATATTCGTCACTACCACGTGGAATTATGAGTTTCTCACCAGTGCAAATTGATACCAAATATGAATGTGGCTAACTGCGTTGAACTTTCGAACATCAAGTGATATGTACATTGTTCGGCCAGCTACACGTACACACTAAAAGTCCCTTTTTTTTTTGCCCCTTATCCCGTGCCAAAATCGTAGCCTTTTGGGCCCAATATGAACAATCGTAAACATCGTAAACAGTGTTCGTAACTGTCTTTTTCCTTTTTACTCAATGTTTCTCATTTTCATCATGTTTATCTCCGGCTCATATAAGTTTAAAATGAGCAAGCCTTATCAGCCATGGCCTTGGCGCCTTCGTATGTCTTGTTTCCACCAATGAATCCCGAAGCGTGCACGAAGACACCGCCAGGTACACCGCAGATCTCGTCAAGACCCGAGTCGCGCGCCCCCCTCCAGGGCTCGGGAAGCGCCTTGCGGCTCTGGAAGGAGTCTTTGGATACGGGCACGGCCTGTATCCTCCACTTGGCGTCGGGGGTAGGCTTCTCCGGGTACAGCACGTAGAGAACCTTGTTCTTGTCTTCTACCTTTTGATCCTCCTCCAGCGTGTACAGGTGGTCTTTCCAGGGCACGGACAGGCCATCGAACACCATGATGCGCCCCTCAGGGTCGAATTCCAGGCGTTTTGCGTACGCAGCGTGCACGATGGCGCGCGCCGGGAGCCATGCCTTCGTGTAATAATCGAGCTCGCGGTCAAACTCCTCGCCAATGCGCTTGCTCGCCACCTCGAAGTGCGAGTCCTCGTGGGCTTGCGCCTCGACGGGGTCAGAGGGTCGCACGTCGTTCCAGTTGGGGTTCAGACGGCCGACGACAGCGCCGAGCCCGAAGCCGCCCTGGCTGAACCGCTTCTCTATTCCCGCAGCGGCCAGTGCGTCAGGGTCGTACTCTGATATGCCGTTGTCGTGCGCGTCGAGCGCCTCGATGAACGACTCGTAGACCTTGCGCCATACGACAGCCACGTCCTCTGCTTCCTCGTCCTGCTGCAGCTTCTGCGCCACGAGCGCCCGTCCAAAGTGCATATACACGAGCCCTGCGCTCGACAGCTTCGTCGGCCGGCCGGGGAAGGTGGTCGTAAAGGTCCGTTGGTGGTGGTCGTAGCGGTTCTGAGCAGCGTCGTATTCACCACCAACGTCGACGACTGTGTGGCAGGTTGCTAGCACGGCTGGGTCGCGCGTCCGCACCAGCGAGGCTGAGTCATACGTGGGCAATTGGCGTAGCATGTGCACGGCGAGGGCCTCATCGGCGTGGAAGTGGCCGTTGTGCGTCCCGATCAAGACATTGCTGTCGGTCTTGATACGTTTGGCAGCGTTTTCTGTCATCCTTGCGAGGATACGAAGCATACAATTGGGGAGAGTCAACAGAAGGTGATTAGAAGAATGCCTCTCTTTTTCTACACTTTTGACCTTCTTTGAATCAGGCAGACGAGCCGGTGCCTAACCTGGGAGAGCTGCTGTGCTGCAAATAAATGAATGGTGGGGTTTTGCTGCTGAGCTTCAAGCAGATTCAAAGCAAACAGGGATGCCAGGGCCTGAGTGGGGTATGTTCAATAGCGAGGTACGTACCTGGTACATCGGAGTGGTACATTGGAGGAGGCAAGTGCTAACAAGAATCGAATGGATGCATCCATCTGTCCCGAGCTCCTGCCAGGGAACGCGTGGTTGACAGAAGGAGGCGTGGCACGCCCTAAAACGGCAAACCCTTGGCTGAGGCCGCATTCACTGCCATCCACTGCCCTGTGCCATCATCGCTGCAGCCCCCAGCCCCAAAATTCTTCATTTCCAAGCTTCGATCTTTTCATCGAACCACAACACGGGCCGTCGCGCTCTCCAGTCTCATATCTGTCCAGATTTCATGTCTCCAGTCCTTCTCTTACCTTCTCTTCATTGCCTGCTTACTTTTTCTTGACACTTCGCATTCTGTAATCATCCATCTCGCATCCATTCCATCCTTTCGTTCAACATACTGTCCATCATCGCGCAACAGTAATCATTGCATCCTTGTTTGACGCGACTGCATACACATAAGTCGGTCCAGCTATGGATTTCTCCGGAGTCAAGACCGAGCCGGGTCTGCGAGACCGCCTTCATGACGATGCGCAGACCACTGATGCCCGACCATCCTACAAGTCGTGGAAGAAGAAGTACCGCAAGATGCGCATCACCTTCGATCAGAGAATGCGCGAGAGCGAGGATTTGCATAGCCTTGAACTCAAAGCCATGCAAACTGCAAAGCGACTTGCCATCGAGAACGAGTAAGCAAGGCTTCGTCTATCATCTTCCCAACTGTCCGTGTAGGTGTTGCTAACGAATCACGCAACATAGCCGCTTGATGGACATGTTATTAGACATCAACGAATCGCCTCAGATCCCCTTTGAGAGACGCATAGACCTGAACCTCGAGGACGAGGAGGATGATGAAGACGATGAGACCGAGAGTGACGACTCGGATACTACCCAGAAGCCCACCAAGTCTCTTAGGAAGCTCATTCAAGAGGTGCCGCATCAGAGCTACGAGGAATATGTACAGCGATTTCCTGAGTTACAAGAAGACTTGGAACCCGAAGATCCTCAGACTTATCCAACGTCCTTCCTTTCCGCAGATGACCTTGATGAGTATCTATATAAGCTCGATATGCGGCTCGGAATCAAAACAAAGCCATCTCTAGCACCATCGGCTCTGGGGACCACCACTGTTACGCCACCGCCCGCAAACTTTGCGTTACGTAACCCTACCAGCGTATACAACTGGCTAAGACGAAACGCACCTAAAACCTTTTTGCAGGATCTCGAGAAGGATAAGGATAAGGACGACCGTGAGAAAGAAGATGGTCGTAAACGCAAGGGCGGCGCTTCACGTAAGAGGCAATCTACAGCTGGTCGCAAAGAGAAAGAGAAAGACACCGCCGAACCAATGGACTGGGATGATGAGGCTGGCTATGATGCACCTGCTGCTACCACACTCAAAGGAAAGAGAAAGCGGGACGATGATGGCGGATATCGACCCAAAGGAGGATCTAGCCGGCCAACTAAGAAACGGAAGAGTAAGGACTTGAGTGAAAAGCCAGCTAAAACTACCAAGGGGAGGAAATCACTTGGTTGAGCGTCATTAATGGGGTGCCGATGAATATGGGTATAATAATTGTATTTCTATCAATCATTTCGCATTGGTAATGGGGAATAGAGAATGGGGAATTGGGGTCATCTACGAGCCTCATACTGGCGTTTGGTTTCAAAATGGGACACATGTATACTACGAGTATCACAGATGGGTTTCTTCTGGCTTGTTGACTTCGGACAATAACAAGGTATTCATGAAGTCAGGCAGTTCCATTACATCCTCGATGTTTCTGGCGACGATAGGCAATCATTGTCTTAAGATTGCTAGTAGAGTCTTTGTGGATTGGACTTCGCAATAGATATGCTGCGACAGTCCAATACAATGTGTCGCCCAACGATGTATAAGTGAAGTATCCAATCAAAAAACTCATTTGCTCTTTAGTGGATCTCACCGTTGAACACAGATTAACCTCAGCAATATTCACACGCCAATTCTAGTACGTTGCTAGCTGTCCGAAAACTATAGAAAGAGGAACTGACGAGATCTGCAAGACACAGGTCGGCTTCCCTCTGCAATACGCCTAGAGATATTAGGTTTCTGATTGGTCTGTCTCTACGTCATCCCACCACACACCCACGGTACCTTTCCTCAGCTTCATAGAGTCAATCGTATTTACAAGTTCACGACGGCTCATGTAAAAATCTAGATATCTACCTACCTACCTACGTGGACAAACAAACACACCATCAATCCAATTAACCCAAGCAAGATTTCTCTTAGGAAGAAGAGGAACGACATACTTTTCTATCTTATTTTCCCCAATCTTTTTCACAAAAAATAAAATGCCCATCCGCAAAACCTACATAGTAGAGCACCTCGACCCGGAGCTCGGTCCCTGGTCGGAGCTCGAGTACATCACCATCGCGCGAGAGACGGGCCGCGCGGGCGGCTCCTTCGTCCTCTCCAGCATGCCGCCTTCGCTCGTTGAGAAGTTGCCGGGCAAATTGACGAGCGAGCCTGCGTTCCGCGCGGAGACGAAGGGTGTTGAGGAGTTGTATCCTGGCGAGGAGAGGAAGAGGGTGTGTCTTTTGGACCCGCGCGCCGAGAAGGATATTAGTCCGGATGATAAGGCGAATTTCGATGTTTTTCTTTTTGGTGGTATTTTGGGTGAGTTGGTTTTTCTTTTCTTTCGTTTTTTTTCTGTGTTTGCTGTTTTGGGGGTTATCTTGGTCTTTTGAGCTGTGTGGGCGAGTGAGTGGCAGGTGAGGTGGGAAGGTCCGTGGTGATGTTTGTTGTGCTGGTAAAAGTAACGGGCTTGATGAGAGCACATGAACGCTTAAACGAAGCGACATTTCTCCCTTCTCTGATATGATTTGGATAACATGACTGACGTATTCTTCCATCTATAGGTGATGATCCTCCTAGGGGTAAGCATCTCATCACTTCAGCACTTTCACAGCTTGTCAAGCACGATATTACTCAGCAATCGGATAAGAATGAGATGCATGAATAAACTGATCATATTGACTTATACATATAGATCGCACCGGCGAGCTCCGCGTCAAAGGGTTCGAAGGCCGACGTCTCGGGCCCGTACAAATGACCACAGATACTGCTGTGCGGGTGACGCGGATGGTTATAGATGAGCAGTGTATGTTTAAAATCTCCCTTCCCTCCCTTCCCCTAATCAGGACTCCCCATTTCACAGTTTTATCATTGTCCCATGAACAATAGCCTCATGTTAGCTACAATTACGAGGGCCTTACTCTCTTCTGACATGCTGAAAACCTCTAGTCACTCTGAACATGGTCCCCTACGTCGACCACCCGGACCTCAAGATCAATGAGCACGAGAGCACCGAGATGCCCTTCCGATATGTCAAGGGAGACGATGGCAACCCAGTTATGCCAGATGTGAGCAATTATCCCCCTTTATTTTCCTACCATACTATAATGCCACCTCACTGTTTGAAAGTCTATCCTTGCCCTTCGTCCTTTCGCTTTATTCACATGGCTCCAGTCCATGGTGTGAGAAGGATCGGTAAGCTGACAGCTGGGCGTTATAGGGAATGTTAGACCTCATTAAGAAAGACGCCGACAAGAGTATCGACGATCTCATTTGATGGAGATGTAGAAAGTAAAATTGCCGAAATGGTATGCTTTGGGGCTGGGACGGTTTTGGTCCAGGTATTCAGCAATCTTCAGTCCCCTATCACCTCCAGGCAAAATATATTCATGGAAATGATCGATTGATTGTATTAGTGATTCTATATATCAGCCCTTATGGCCAGGCTCAATCATCATCCTCATCCATCTCATCATCTTCGTCTTCCTCGTAGTCGTTATTGTCGTCAGACTCGGCCTCGTCTTCATCCTGTTCATCTACTTCCGCGACCTCCTCCAACCGCGCCGGCGAGCTAGCTTGCTCTTCATCTAAATCGTCCCAGCGAAAGGGAGTCGGCGTGGATACAGATTCACCCTCAGCCGGAGGCGTACCGGACGCGGCGGATGTTGAATCGCGAACTGGGGCTTCTTCGAGCGGGAGGAACGCCCATTTCCCTCTCCCTCGAGCTCGCCCACTTCCTCTTCTCCTGCCACCGCGCCGCGGCCTCTCGTCGGACCCGCGGGCAGCCTGCGATTTACTTGAGCTTACCCAGCGGCCGCGGCCGCGCGTTTGGATTCCCTTCGCCTTCATTTTCGCTCGCTTTCCTTGCATGCTGTGCGCAATGATCGTGACGTCGTCGGTCTCGCCTTTGCGCCGCTTGATAGCGATCAGATCAGCGAGAAAGTTGCGCTGGTCGTTTCTCTCCTGGGTTGCCTTGGGATCAACAGGCGGAATGACCGTTTGCGGCAAATTGGCACTAGCACGTTGACGCTCTCTTTCACTGACTTTCGGCCTGAATTTCTGCTCCGTGACGTTGATGCGCGACGAGCTCGCCGCTAAGAGATCGACTCCATCTTCGAGACTTTTTAGAACAGGTAAAGAATCATTCGCTTCATGCCGTGTAAAAATAAGTTCGGTCGTTGCATTCTCGCACCATTGCCCGGAGAACACGCGGCCTTTGTACGAGATGATGGGGTTCTCGGAATGTAGTTCTAATATCTGCACTCTCTCGTGATTGGAGCTGTCTTCGCCATTCTCCTCCCCTTTAGAACCGGAGAGCTGTTTCCCCCGATCTTCGCGTAGCGTTCCATCCTGATCTTCCTCGTCACGCTCCGCATCAGAGCTAGCAGCACTACTAGCAGCACTATTATGCGAAGCGTTTTTAGCCGCCTTACGCCTGTTCAAGAACATCTCACTTGCTCTCTGGATTTGCCAGCTACCGCGTGAAGGGAATGGGTTGTTCTTAACTTGATCTTGAGCCTTAAAATCCGCCTTGGACAAATCCAAAGTTACGTAGAAGGTCTGGCGCGCGTCAGCTTCACGGAGCATGTGGGGAAAGCATTAGAAAAACGGCAAAATACCTCCGTTTGTGTAGTTGAATATTCATATTCCCATTCGGAGTCATCCTCTTCTTCATAATTCCCATGTTTCTCTGACGATGATGATGATGCAAAAGTTGTGGCCTTGGGGCTTCTAAGCCTAGGGTCTAGCAGTTCGAGACTAGCCATCAGGACGACGTTGGCTGAGCTTGTCTATTCTCTGATTGTGAGTTGGTTTCATTGAGCAAGTAGTACAGCTCTGAGGAGATACTATAATTGCAAAAATGGTGTGAGGCTCGCTATTGATTCGGTTATCTCTGACAAGAGAATAAATAGCAGAGACATTGGAGAATTCAATACTACTTATGTAGCTTGAAAGGTCCAAAAGATTACCTAAAGTTGAAGCTCGGGTGGGCCCTGGCATTAGCGCCGCATACACGTATGAAGAACCTTGGAAGGTGCTTACTTATTTCAGCGACTTTAGGGGGCGGTCACAGGCGGCATTTCACCCCTACGATATCGCAATTGGAGGGGCACTGGAAATGCCCCTCCTCACGACCGGACCTGTCTAGTCCAAGTACATAGCTAGAAAATGTGACTCCCATGATCCACGCAGGACTCTTGAGTCATCTAGAAACAATTCATCCATATTGAAACCTTTATTTATTCAATACACAGTCTATCTTACTATAAAGTGTACAATTATACACCTCTCAGTTGTACCCGTGAGCGATTCAAAAAGGTCTTCCACCACTCGACTTCACTTTATTCCTCACAGCATTGTGACTTAGCCGCTAAGAAAGACCTGAGTTTCGTCACTTCGATTCTAGCATTCTTTTTTTAGATTCACACCTTTTCATACCGGTCATGCCGACAGTTCACCTGCTCGACTATGTCGCGGGCAACATACGGTCCCTCGTCAATGCGATTGAGAAAACAGGCTACAGCGTAGAATGGATACGGTCACCCGAAGACGTAGCAAAAGCCGACAAGCTGATCCTGCCGGGCGTAGGGCACTTCGGCCACTGTCTCAGCCAGCTTGCCTCCGCCGGCTATCTTCCCGCCATAAAATCCCACATAGATGCCAACAAGCCGTTTATGGCGATATGCGTAGGGTTACAAGCGCTCTTCGAGGGATCCACGGAAACACCCGACGTTCCCGGCCTGGGAATCATTAAGGGGAAGCTGGATCGGTTCGACGACACCAATAAAGCCGTCCCACACATCGGCTGGAACAGCGCCAACGCATCGGGCAAGAGTTTATACGGTCTGCGGCCAGAGAGCAAGTACTACTACGTTCACTCATACAAATACCCCTACGTAAAGGGGGAATTGGAGAGCCAGGGCTGGACAGTCGCTACAGGTTCATATGGGGAGGAGACATTCGTCGGCGCCGTGGCGAAAGGGAACATACTGGCGACGCAATTCCACCCCGAGAAGAGCGGTGTCGCTGGCTTGAAATTATTAAAGTCCTTCCTGACTGGCGAAGGCGAGAAGACGCTAGGACAAGAGGTAACGGGTCCCGCGCCGACAGGTGGTCTAACGCGGCGCGTCATCGCGTGTCTCGACGTGCGGACGAACGACCAAGGCGACCTCGTCGTGACGAAAGGCGACCAATATGACGTGCGCGAAAAGGGCGACGACCGCAACGTGCGCAACCTCGGCAAGCCCGTGGAGATGGCCAAGAAGTACTACGAGCAAGGCGCCGACGAAGTGACCTTCCTCAACATCACGAGTTTCCGCGACTGTCCGCTCGCCGACCTCCCCATGCTCGAGATCCTGCGGCGCACCTCGGAGACCGTGTTCGTGCCGCTGACGATTGGCGGCGGCATCCGCGACACGGTGGACACGGACGGGACCAAGGTGAGCGCGCTGGAGATTGCCACGATGTACTTCAAGAGCGGCGCCGACAAGGTCTCCATCGGGTCTGACGCCGTCCTCGCCGCAGAGGAGTACTATTCCGGCGGGCGCAAGCTCTGGGGCAACACGGCCATCGAGCAGATCTCCAAGGCCTACGGCAACCAGGCCGTCGTGGTCAGCGTCGACCCCAAGCGCGTATACGTGCCCAAGCTCGACGCAACGCGCCACAACACGATACGCACGCGCGTCCCGGGCCCGAAAGGCGAGGAATACTGCTGGTACGCCTGCACTATCAAGGGCGGCCGCGAGACGCGCGACATGGACGTCGTCGAGCTTGCCCAGGCCGTCGAGGCCATGGGCGCTGGCGAGCTTCTTCTCAACTGCATCGACCGCGACGGGACCAATAGCGGGTTTGACCTCGAGCTCATCAGCCAAGTCAAGGCCGCCGTGCGCATACCCGTCATCGCGTCCAGCGGCGCCGGCAACCCAGCCCACTTCGAGGAAGTCTTCAGGGAGACGACGACAGACGCCGCGCTTGGTGCAGGCATGTTCCACAGAGGCGAGTACACTGTGCAACAGGTCAAAGACCATCTTGCCACGACAGGATTAGAGGTACGAAAGTACGAGGGTGAATCATAACCATGAGAGATCTAGGGCCAGTTTTCCTACTTCAAACTTTACATGCTACATCTATACAGGCGTTGGTGATTAAAAGGGGTCAGATCACGTAGTGTAAGAGGCACTATCTGGGAAGTATTAGAGGACTTGCATGTATATTGATTGATTGATTGATTGAAAAGCTATGGCTTCGTCCCCGTAGAATTGCAGAATTCGGATTAGTCCACGAAAAAACTCCGGTCCCGTGATGCATGCTTTTTGTAGTTTCCCAGATCAACGCGCGATGCAAATGCAGGAACGGTTACCGAAATCCATGCGATGAACTCCAACTCCATGACAGGTGCAAGTCGAAAAATGATTTTGTGTCAATGATATCTCCTCCAAAGCTGTACTGAGTAGAACTTTTTCTTGGTAATGTTCAGAGAATGAATCAAGGCATAAGCCCGGGGTTAAGAAGAAGGAGTGACTAGAGCTCCATTCCCAAGAAGAACCATTTGTCGCTGACGACGTCGAGTTCGTCGGCCCAATGGTCCAGAGTAGTCAGTTCGAAACCGACCCATTGTAAACTTCGCATCAAGGATTTTGCGTGGTCTTCTGGCATGTGTCGGTCCATGCAGATGACGACGTTAGAGCATCCCAACGGAACATCAGCCAATTCGATCAAAGCAATGAGTCTGTAATATGGTTAGTACGTGCGGAAGGGGGCGAAGATGTGAAAAAAGGAGATACGTACGCTTGCTTGAGATCCTGGCCGACCAGTCCGCTATCGAAGAATGCAAACAGTGACTTTTCGTCGCCCTTTTCGGCCACAAAGGCCCGGAAACTTGCGCCTCCCGCGTAATCCCAGAATTCCATCCATGCTTTGGCGTTGACAGCGGAGTTCATGCCACTGCGTGGTAACGAAGACGGTGGTGTAGGAGGATAGTAGTCGGGCGGCGTGGGTAAACCGAGAACACCAGTCAGGCAGGAGCCATTACCAGCCGCGTTCCGCTCACCTTGGAACACAGCGTTCATGGTCTCGCAAAAGAATCTCTCACATTCTTCCCTGATCTGAAATGTTGCCCCCCCTCGGCGGCTAGTGGTAGTAGTGCGGTTTAGGTTGTTGGTCGTAGCGTTGTCGGAGCTGCGCTTCTTGGGTTTGGGCTGCAGAGCAAGCTCGTTGGACGACGTGATGGCCGCGAGGGGGGGACTTGACGGAGGGGATGGTAGTCCTGAGATAGGAACCTCAGGAATACCACTCGGCCCCTATTGACAATTGAATGTTAATTTAAGCATGTACTATCACATGGTATCTGCAGCGGAGCGAGACAATGACAATGACAGGAATGAGAACTGAGTCATCAGGATTGGAGACTTACCGGCAGCCCCGGTAGTGCAGTAATGGAGGCCCTTGAGCGAGGCGGCAGAGTCTACCAGGTAGCAACTGGCGAGGACATTCGCTTGACGGGTAACGTCCTCGCCGTAACAATTACTACTACTTGAATTACTGTTTTTCATGGGCGCCATTATTGATGAGATCCAGAGCTGTTAATTACTAAGGAAATGGCTGGGTTTGGCTTGTCGATCGGGGGCGGGGAAAAGGCTGTGATCTCGTTGTTTCTGAATGAAGGTTAGAGTTGGCTGCGGAATGAGTCGCGGTGAGTTGAGTTTTAGAGAAGCTTGGGCTGGGAGAACTTAAAAGAGACGAGATGTGAGGCTCAATTAAATTGGTAAGAGAATGAAAAAGACGGGCGGTCAAGGAATTGGGCACTTTCTACTGTAAGTACCTACATACTTAGTATGCGTCTAGCTAGCCCAAAAGGCAGGGTGGGGCTTTCTGGAAACAGCCAGAGTTTATCCTCGCAACATCCCTGTATCTGCCAGTATCTACAGTAGCTAGTTACATGTACTGGTACTTACCTACTGATAGACAGTACAAAGAGAGCCAATCACATGCTGATCCCTCAGCACACAATGCTCCATACCCCGCATTGCTATCACGTGGGCTCCAACCGTCGAGCCACCGGTCTGAAAAAGGCGGCGCCGTCTAGCCCGAAACAGTGTCTAGCGTACTGTCCAGCGTGCTCTTGTCAGGCTTCTGTCCTTCGTCCAGACCATTGATATTACCACTGAAAACCACTTAAAACAACGACTACGACGACTTGATACTCGCCACTATCACTTGGTGGGATCTGGCGAGTCTGGTGGGCAGCAACTGGACTCGTTGCGGAAGCAGCCGTTGCAGCTGCGGACTGTGTCTGTATCCTGGTCCGAGTCCCACCACACTGTATGATATCTGGAAGTTTGATTGACTCCCTGGTCCCCGCCACTTCCAACGGTCCTTTTATTCTTGTTAGGTAAGTATTCCTTAACAAACAAAACATACATTTGATTGATAGACATATGACGACATAGCTCATACAAAGAGTTGATACTATGAGACAACATGGGGCCACTTTCGCCAGCACAAAGAACTGCGGTGTTGCCGGCAGAGGTGATTCGACGGACCACGCTGACGTTATTCTACAGCAATGTATCACTACATAGGTACGGTATAATACGCATATATATATACAGCTTATTACCTTGACGTTGGTAGTAGGATATAATAAGCACCTTGTCCAATGCTGCTCTATTCTGCGACTAGCCAGCTAATGAGTTTGATGAAATATAACGTAGCTCACGTCATTATATTGAGATAGTCATCATGTAAAACAACCTTGAAGCATTCATAGAAAGCGCAGAGAAAGTGACTACAAATGTAGCGTTAGATCGGGGACGTGGGCAAGAGGAGAATCCCAAGGAAATGAATTGGCAGCCTCGCCGAGGCAATTCTCTAGCCTTCGCCTACCAATAGGCAGTTGTTTGCATGCTCAGGCAATGGCAGCAAACAATAAGAGGGGCCCCCTGACATACATACATGGATTCAAACTATGTGTCGTCAACCACGCACAGTTCTTTGCAACAATTTTTCTACACTACAAAGGTCAAAAAATAACTTCCAATCTAATAGCTCAAGCATCTTGGCCATGGCGGTGACGACAAGTCTGCAGCTGCGCAGCTGATTCGTTGAGTGGAAGCCGACTTCCAAGACGACCTCACCGCGCCAGCCAACGAGGGCTCCAGAACCCAATTCCAACACCCATGTTAAGAGCAGAGTAATGGAAACAACAATCATATTATCAAGTGCGACTCATTATCCATCTGGCTCGTTCTAATATCTTCTAGTATATCGGACTTGACACAGATCGACTGGGAACCTCGTTTCCATTTTACTTGTTCTCCCCCCACTCCCATGTCCCTTCCATCATTCTCACGGCCCGGGGCTCTTGCTCGGTAACGTAACGGCAGCCCAACGAATTCCACTGGCGCAGGCTTCGCGGCCTAACATCAAACAGGCTCAAAGCCGAGCTCCCTACCCCCTATCCACACTATTCTCTTAGGAACGGAAGTAGCGCAGGTATTTCCAAGACTATTGAGGTCGTCTCTGACTTCTCGCCTTATATCGCTCATCTGCAGTTTCTCCGCCACTGTCGCCTTCCAACTCATGTATCATCTCCAGCTCCTCGAACCCGTATTGCGCCTGCCCTGGGGCAGTAACCGACGAAGTCGGGCGCGGCTTCTCTGGCGATTCTGAACTTTCCTTTTTCTTCTTTTTCTCCTTCTTAGAATCACTCTTGTTCGAAGACTTTTTAGAAGAGCTCTTTAATGATGTGGGTGTCTGCAATTCGGGAGGGCTCGGAAATTTGTCAATTGATACTGGATAACGATTCTGGTCTGGGTTTTTAGGATCGCCGAGCCCGCGCCAGGGCCACAGGGAACCCGGCATCAAGTGCAGGTAAAGGATGAAAACGAGTAGTAATATCCCGAAGAGTACCCCTAGGACGATACCGGTTATCTTTGCAGGAGGCAAGCTGGCATCTGTCGACGATAATGACGGTGCGTGCGTTGCCACCGGTGCTGCAAGTGTGCTTGTGCTCGTGACTATTTCGACGGTCGTTAAGATGATTGTTGCCGTTTTCGATATAATGATTGTCGTCAGCGTTGTTAGAAGAGGTGTAGGTGTTGTAGTGCTATGTTGATAGTAGGATGTGATTGTCGTATTTGTCGTCGGGTATCCGTGCTCCTCATTGAAACCCGACATTGGAACCTGTAGAGATGTACTTGAAGAAATAGCTATGAGAGTAGCCCCGAAGTATATGTTAATAGTCGGACAAGCGCGTCTTTAATCACGTGTTGAATCAAATTTATACTTGTTGTTGATCATCAATAGAGCAATTCTTGTCATTACAATTCTGGTCACTACTGAGGTTGTACCGGCCATTAAATATTTAAGTTGTATGTGATCAAAGGTTGAGGCAGCTCGGGTTACCCGGGTGGCAGGGAACGAGAGATCAAGAGACTCTCGATCTCTCTTTGTTCTCAACGTCTCAGAATGTAACGGTATCTGAACTGAATTGTGATACATCACAGACGCTCCAGTTCCGGTATTCTCTGGGAACGCTTGTACGGCCATGATCATGATTAGTAGATTACTATATTCTCTATATGGGAAATTTGTTCGTGGCGCGTACAATAATTCCTATACGTTAGAGATTGTTTGAGGACGTGAAATGTCGGGAGCATGTTGTCTGTCTCATGCTATTCGCGGAAGCATGTATGAGTGAAACTGTCGTGCAGGTGTCGGGGGATAGCTGAGGATCGCGTACAGAGCTGCTATCAGCTTTAAATGTTGTCATCTTACCATCCTCGGCATACGCTATCTGGGGCTGTTCCAAGTTAATTATCTCACTGAGCTGCCGTAGTTTCGGATCAGGCTAATAAAGTGATGCGAAGAGTTGCTGGGGATTGAAGAAGATTTCCCCGGCCAAACGCGCGCTTCTGGGATAATCAAAGCTACAAGAGAGCTTTGATCGTCGTAGACTACGCGCACTTACCAGGTTTCAGAGCTCGGAGATGCCGGACTCCGAAAATACTCCGAATAGTGACAGCCATTCTTTCTCTAGCCCAAATATACGGGTTCGATGCTGCTCATAGATGCGAATGTATGTCTTTTATGTGTGACCGTGGGGGTTGTACATGTCTTGAATCTTCTCATGCCTCTGAGTATCATAGGCTATCATTTATACAGACCTCAAGGATCTTGGAGCTCAGTACTGATGTCTAAGCGACTGCTTATGTTTAAGTGTATATAGCTAAGGCGGTAACTCTGAGTTGTGGGCGAGTAGTTCATACTAATATCAGTATTGTAACATACTTCTAATTCCAACCATTCTGTTAGCTCTCATAAATCTAGGCCTTGTCCTCATACTGTTAATGATCCCAATTACGCTGGTCTATCGTCCAGTGAACCGCCTTGTTGGTTGTTCATAGAGTTCCAAAACCATCACTACCAGCTTGAAATTGTCTGAATCTTCATTTCTCGAATCTCAGCAGCATTACTCTCTTCCCATGGATGAAGCTCTTCAAGTTGGCGAATCAAAGCTTCGTGTTCGGGACTTCTAGGTTTTATTGTAGCCTTAAAGTCCGCTGGGCGACTAATGAGACCAGGTAAGAATTGAACGTTAGGCTCAGTCTCACGACCATTCTCGTCTAAGCCCTTGCTTATATTAAACACCGCCAAGGACCGTACAATCGTTAGCCATACGGATGAATCTGCAATGAATCGACCAGGACAAATTCGACGCCCGTAACCGAAGGTGTAGGGTACCGGATCCGATTGCGGGTTTGGGCCCATGAATCTCTCTGGGTTGAATATATAGGGATCGGTGTAGACTGAAGGGTCATGTGTATACCACCTGTCAATACGGTTAACTCATAGGCTCCTACGAGCACGCTTTGAACTTTGCACATAACCCATTTCAATCGTATAGCTATAGGACACTCACCAAATATTAGACACTATTATCGATCCTTTTGGAATGCGATACCCATTGACGATATCTTCTGCAGATGAAGCGTGCGGTACGCCTAGGGGTCCCACGGAATGCCAACGCCAGGCCTCTGTTAACAGAGCTTCTATGTAGGGAAGACTCTTTCGATCATCAAAAGTAGGGAGACGGTGGGTGCCAACAACTCGATCGATCTCATCTTGAGCTTTTCGCTGAACGTCAGGAAACAGTATCATGGCCAGGAAAAAGGCCGAAATCGTGTTTACAGTCTGTTTTAAAGCGAGTTCTAGTTAGTATCCGCGAATGGGAAAACAATAACAACAACACCAACAACAACGGGAAAATGAAAAGACCAAGAAACACACCGTATCCGCGCCACCCCCGTATAAAGTCGTCTGTTTTTAGTTGAAGTTAGTAAAATATTGAATGAGAGATAAACAAATGACTGTTAGTTGATGTGTGAAGCCGGATGAAGTGTTCATATTAGTGCAAATTACTCACAGCTGCCCACTTGAAGTCCTCTTGGTCACGTGAGGTAATGCCAGCCCCCTTTTCATCGTAGAAATCCCTGACAAAAGACCGGTTTTGGTCATCACTTGTTATATGCTGCCGAGCGAACTGTAGTGGCTTTTCTACTGTTTCCCTTAGTACGGCGCGCCAGGCTCTGGCTGTCTTTTTCCATCCGCCACCCAGCATCCACTCCGGGATATATCTCACTTGAACTGTTTAGCTCTCCTGTCTGGTAAGACATGTGAGTAATAAGAAGCACGTACAAGCTGGAATAGAATCTACTAGCCATGCTCCGGGAACTACAGTGGCAGAGAAGTGTGTCATGGCCTCGTCTACGAGTTCAACCAATGGATCTGGCTTGTGAGGTTCTACCGTGTATCCGTATATGAGTTTGAGAATGAAAGCAGCCGCTTCACTATATGTCAAGTGAAGATTGGAGCGTCAGTTTGCCTCAATCGGATGTAGCACAGTACTGGGGTCTTCCTTACGTCTTTATGTGTTCAAGAAATCGCTCTGGCTCTTGTAGAGTACGAAATAAAAATCGGTGGACTTCTACATCTTGCAGGGGTAGATATGGGGCGACATTCATTTTAGTACCGACAAGCGTATGTGTGATTTTGCGGCGCCGGCGGTAGGCTTTATCGTACTTCATAAGAGTTAAAGCATCAGACCAGCCGTTGCTGGAATAGTTCAGCTAACGTGTATACAAAATAACCTACTCAGGTACTTACGCCTCAGCGAAAATCAAACTTGGCCGTGATGAATATTTTGAAGACCGATTCTCCAAAAGTTCGGACGTCAGTTCGGGCGAGTGCAAGATCACAAAAGTCGTCCCTAGTACTGTGATAGAGCTAATGGGGCCTAGCCTCAGAAGATACCAAAGTCAGCACCATGATGTACCCCTTATTGACATATAGGCGGTATGCTACGGACCGTAAGTATCCTTGAATTTCAACCAATGCTCACAGTCACGTCCGCCTTTGGGAGGAAGATCTAAAACATTCCCGAGCAGGGGAACTGAGTGCTTGAAGTTAACGAATCAAAGCCAAAGAACGAGTTTTGAGTGGAATCTAGGTCGAAACTAGACATCAGATTGATGAATGTCTGGGAGTCACATACTACCTCGGGGTCCCGGTGGGAGGGGTAGTTGCTTTTTGTGAAAGAAGAGGTAGATCGTCGTCACAACAACTACTAGTGCCGTGGCGAACAGAATACCGGTACTGAATATTCCGACAGAAGCCATGATCGGCGGAATAGCCTAGTCGACGAATTGAAGACTTTGTATAGAAGCACTTAGGTCATGAAACCATATGAAGTAAAACTCTAAGGGCCAGAAAGACAGAAGCCGGATGCTATATAACCTGTATAACACTGCTTACTCCTTGAGCAGTGAGATCCTGGGGCATAACATCATATCGGGTTTGCATTACCCAATAGGAATCAATTCTTGGTCACACCAGCGAAAATCCGGCTCCTAAATCAATGATCTGCCGTGGCTGTCAAGGCTCCGTTCTGGTCACATTCTGCTGCGGGGTTTACTTTGGTCAGTTTATACTGCATACACTGAGATTATATTCACAACGCGCCGTTGGTGTGTAACGTAGACTTTACCTGATTCAGCACAATTTTCCACTATTTTCAGCCCTCGTACCAAATAAAAGACAGTTTCCCCAGTGGAATGTCCGGAAAATTGTGCTGAATCAAGTAAAGTCTACGTTACACACCAACGGCGCGTTGTGAATATAATCTCAGTGTATGCGGTATACCATTGGACAAGGTCTTCTGAGCCCCGCCAATACTTGAATGCGTGTCTCACTTAGCGAGAGCTGAATAGCTGCTTTCGAACAGAAAATATGCAATTCAATACAAATCGCATGAAAGTTGCTCAGCGCCTTAGACGCATTCAGCGATTATAACGAACCCCTTATTCCGCAAAAGCTTATCAGGGAATTGGGTCAGGAGTGACGCCAAGAGCTCATTAAATAGGTATATAAAGGACCAGAGTCCACATTCAGCATTAGAAAGACTCAAGAGTCAAGTTCTTATCTATAACAAGGGCAGAGAACTGGGCTTGGAACTCTATGCTGTTCGCAATATAATGAACAACTAGGGCTGCATGCGTCCTTGACCAACCAACTCCTTCTCGGCTATTGGTGGCTTGACTCGACTCTATGTACAACTGGTCTGCCAGCCCAGACCGTCTGGGTCTCTAGGGTCTGTTTCGAGAAGCGAAGTCTGTATAACCTCACTTTGAATATTGCCTGCATATCTCCGAAAGATCATGAACAGCCTGCAATGGCCTTTCGTACGGCCGAAGTGCAAGTCGAACTGCATATTCAGCTGGCACAGCGTTTATGCGCGTGACAGGCATCCTGAATATGCGAAATAGGACATTTTGTTATAGGGGTCGCCCTTTTTGGTCCCAATATACTGTCAGTAGCCCGCCTAAATAAGTCTTTTAGTCTTCAGACTATTATTGACAACAGTGTCGACACCGCACTCTTTCGTCATTCGCATAACACCGGCCTTGAAAGCTAAGTTACGGCTCGAGAAGATGTGATCACGCGGTATGCCATACATTTTCTCAAGAAAGCCACGCTTTTCCAAGTTGCCAATGGGAGTGAATATCTCGACACCCTCGCGTTGAGTCAGCTGGATGATGGCCTGGTCTCTTGCTATACGCTTCCCTCAGTCGCTGTCAGACGTTGGTGGAGTCAAGGAGCGGGTCAACAAGGGTCCCAAGATCGCATATATATTCAGTACACCGCTCAATTGCTCCTCAGATAGAACTTAGCCAGCTAGAGCACTCAATACTACCTTGAACTGATCCCTCGAACGCACTGCAGGGACCTTACGGCCCACCTACGTCCGAGAGTCGCCGATATCGTAGAGAAACGCGTACACAACTGTGTGCACGATTGGTATTATTACCGCCTCCGCGAAGGAGAAGTTCTTAGGTATGTGGGCATGTCGTTAGCTAAGGTCTGCTTTTTGACATGTTTGGTCACTAAAGTTACCTCAACAAGGCATAGAATCTCGACCCTTTAACTATATAGTTGCTCAATAGTTACTTACAATAAATCAACGTGATGCTCATTAAATAAATTACTAAGTAATTATCCGGAGATGGCAAAACTGAAAGTTGATTTGATTAAACAAATCAAAAAAAGCGTAACTCCGAATCGGGGAATCGAACCCCGGGCTTGACGGTACCCTTCCATGCTGGATAACACGGAAGTTGAGAGCGTCAAATGTTAGCCACTACACCAATTCGGAAAAGAAACATCACAGCAAGGTGATTGTTGCCCACTAGCGGAATCGAACCGCTGATCTTGTCATGACATCTAGGCGAATACTAGTGACACGCTATACCACTTAGCCAAGCGGGCTGTAATGATTGGTTGATGCGCTTCAAACTCGTTAAACCATATTATAATTGTGAAAGTCTGGGTCATTCTTATGATTTTCTGATTGTTCTCTTGCGATAGAGGCTTTTATACCATTCAACTTTAAGCTAGTGAAGTATTTCATGCTATGAACTTGCGATGAGGATTTCTCTGTAAGAGCTGGAAGCTTAGGGCTAATTATGGCAGGTCGCGTTTGCCGTCAATCAAGTCAAATCACCGACGCCACAATGGGCCGATCAAAAGCTTCTGTATCAGGCGCGAGCAAGCGTGGAAAAAATTGGCCAGAGCGTGTCTCGACTGCCGGCCGCAAGGGCGTCACTTCGAAATCTAAGGAAACCTATCATGATAATAGGACCGCTGCGAACCCTCGGCTCATTTTAGCCACTAGTGGATGACGCCACATCATCCCCTAAGAGACTAAGGATCGGTCAGGCCCTGAAATTCAGGTTAAACATTGCTCACTCAAGTCACGAGAATCAGGTCTACTTACGTCACGACTTGTAGTCAACAGACAAGACGCCCTTACGCCCTTGTCTTTGGTGATGTTGATAATGGCGAGCTTGGCCTCGGCGTAAAGAACAACGAGGCTCTGTGGCCTGTTTTGAATCCGTTTCTGGATCTTGACAGTCCAACTGCATCAGGACTCTCAAGGCAAGAGTTGTTTCGGTATGGCACAGACGAAAAGACTATCACAACACAAGAAACGCCTGTTCAGGTTCGAGGCCTTCCATGTATTACGCGTATCGAATGCGGGGTGAATCATGCGCTGGCGCTGGACACCAAGGTGACATCTGGGCCTGGGGCTATAATGAACAGAATTAATTCGGCCGCCGCCTCTTTGGGCGACGACAAGACTCTTTCGTGCTAAGCCAGGTCCAATTCTGCCGCGGTAAGACGAAGTATATGGCATCTGGGCATCATCATTCCTTTGCCGTCGGCTTGGGGAGCGAATAGCTTTGGCCAGGCAAGAGATCCAAAGACCCCCGGTGGGGATTTGGCATTTCTACCTTCTCCTATCAAAATTCGAGATCTCTGTCAAAAGGAGGTCATAACTCTAACTGGCGCCTCATCGGGGCTTCGTAAGGAATTGTCTAAAGCCGGCGAGTCGATGCACCTCGATTCGTTCCTAGCAATATCAGTCTTAATCTATTACGATACGTGGACCAACGCCGACTACTTTCTGCCACTACAACACAGCAATATAGCGTCCGACACATAGACAGATCGTGTCTTTGATTTTAGCTCAAGTTTGAAGAAGAACTTCCTAAGCTGTTTCCAGCGCCCCTGGGAGCAGCTAACGCTATGGCTATCCATCATCATTGGCATGTCGCGTCTTCTGGCCCCGTTCATCAAAATCCCGCCTACGGAGTCTGGGGGGCGTCACCTCCTCGCTGCCACGAGCGCCGCATTTGCACCCGGCCAAGGCGCTGGGCACGCTGGCGTTCCGCTGGAGAGATTGCCTCTTGAGATATGCAGGGGTGCTGATGGGATGACGGGAAGCGGCTCCGCCTAAAAGGTCGAGGGAGAACGGAATGTCGAAGAAGGTCTGGGATTCTATTGCTGCTGACTTCACAAGGATTAGCAGCCGAGAAGTGGTGAGGTAGAGTTGAGACTTTGCTCCATTGTTATCCTAGGTAACTGATGTACTGGACTATGATTACATTTACATCCTCATGAAAGGTGTTCTACTCACGATTCCGTGTCATAGATGGCCCAACATCAATTTTCGAAAAATTTATCTCTAGATATCATTCAATAATGGAAAAGGGGGCCGAACTGCTCCTGCACATAGCGCCTTTGAAACTCTTACCTATCACTAGTTGCATAGATAACTCAGGAGAGGAGGCTCTGCCATCCATCTAGTACAGGCATTACATTTTGGGGGGAGTTTCTAGTGTTGATAAAGAGAGCACATGTTGTTTCTTCTGAATGCGTGTAGCTTGGCACCGATACACATCTACTGGCGAGATGAGTCCCATATTTCCTGTGTATCAGACTACCTTGAAAATGCAGAGGCTCATTAACAATAGCAGATATAATCAAATACGATAACATGTCATCTATTACATATATTACAGTAGCCGGAGTTCGCGCGACCACTTAAATTTTCTTCAGACTTGTTAGGTCGCGTGGGAGCATTGGGAGAAACCAATAACCTTGCCTATTCAGCAAACAATGTCGAATACGTTTGACAGATGCAAATGACGTATTCAGTGCCGACAGAGTCACTATATGCAATTAGACATACCAATTCAAAAATAGCCAAAGCTTGTGATATGCGGCTACAGACTCCCCAAAACAAACAGTTGCCTGGTTCATTCTATTGTCGGCTCCGGAATAGAACCTTGTAATTCGTATTTGGAATGATCATATCCCCAATCAAAACGCTTTCCGGTCGCACCTTGCCATTCTCTAACTTCATATCATAATGTTGCAGGATTTCAATGATTAAAAGCTTGCTCAAGGCGCTTCCCAAGAAACGACCAGGGCATATCTGACGCCCATGCCCGAAATGCAGGCTCCCCGCATAAGAAGACGTAAATCGAAGTCCATGCTGATTGGTGTTTGGGTCTTTGCGTAGCCGCTCGAAACGAAATGCATCAAACGTCTTGGCGTCTTTAAATTGGCTATCGTCCAAGGATATGAAGGCCCCAGGGAATGAAATGTGAACACCAGATGGAATTTTTTCACCCGTAGAAAGCTCGAATGACTTGATGGCTGTGCGGTTTACCGACACTGTCATTATAATTAGTTTGCTTGCGAGGAGAGATATTAGCTATCATGAGGAAGAGTAGTTTTCCATACGTTTGCCTGGAGGGTGCAACCTCTGAACCTCTTTCATAAAGCTATCAAGCTTCCACATATTGGAAAGATCCGCGCTCGTTATGCCTGTTTTCTTTGAACCTATAAACTGTTCGATTTCTTCACGCAACGGTGGGGCCCATTGTTCAAAATTAGCCGCAAGATCGAAAATGCAGTTTGTGATATGATTTGTCGTTGTGTGAGTAGCACCAAACGCCACACCCATCAGACGATCGGCAATGATCTCGGGGGTTAACTCATCAGGGGGTGAGTAATGGATCAGCCAATCCAGTGTATGCGCATGTTCGGTCTTGGGCCGGGAGAGCGAATGGTCTGAGTAACAATTGTGCAATTCAATGCGCTGTCTTATGTATGGGGCGATAGCTTTAAAGAATCTGTGGCGATAAAATTGTATTCGATATATGTAAGGGGTGAGGACAAAGATAAGGGGCTGCAGAAATGCAGGTGTAAACTTGAGAATGGTTGCTGCCATGAACACATTTCTCGCATACCCAGTGGAGTTTTTGAGACACCACGACTGCCTACATACCTCAGGCCCAACAATCGTTCTCATCCCAGTCTGAGAAATTATTGAAAGAATCGCCGGGTGAACAGCTATTGGGCGCCAATCTACTGCTGAAGTCAGCCAGTTGCAAGTCCGGGATTTATACCTCGGATAACGTGCCTGAGTAGTTTGAGAAGACCCTGTTGAATGAGAAATCAATCTCATCACAAATACCGTCAAGCTGGCGGCTAAGGCGGCTAATGTGCTGTGATCGGATTGCGTCTAGCGTTGGGCGACCGAAAATACCAACATGAAGAGTGGTCCATCGTCCCATGAAGAACTAAACATTCATGATTTAGCACGGTTGTCAACAAATACTTGAACCTCGAATAGCTATTTACATCAGAAGTGGCTTGTGAAACACTTGCAATACTATGAGGAAGCGCTGAAACTTCTATTAGATACCGCAGAGGAAGAATAATAGACTGGCGGTCGGTCGCTGGAAGTTGGACGACCTCATCTCGAAACTACCCTTTATTCAGCAGCTACCAGGCAATGAAATTCATCTCATCTAACTTACCTTCTTATACGCGTCGTGTATAAGTGCAGAACCGTTTCTATACCAGTTAATCTGGGCAGCAAATGGAAGTTTGCTTGTCTTTCTGCCAACGACAACAAAATGGGTTGCGTGCTTTCGTGACATCCATTTGATAGAGATAGTACCTATCAACACAATGATTGTAACGACTGCAACATTCAAGTCTTGAATGAATCGGTTGCAATTGATGAGGAAATGCATTTTCCCCTTTCTGGCCTCTAATTAGTATCTTGATGGGGTGTAGCAAGGAATACAAGTATTGATTTCAATTATTCAGCTCTCCGTTGATTCGGATCGGAACAACTTCGGCTTCAAGGACAACGAGCATAGGATGGATCATCATATCTGCATCTCAACAGCGTGTGTTTTACCTGCACTGCCTACTAAGCAAAAACCCTGCCTCACGACCACCCCCCGTCACGACCAGGGCCCTAGGCACCTTAAAACGCACTTTAACTCCTAACTACCTAATTAAACACTACTTAATAACGTAACCGCATTTAGGTCTTACAATAACTTTTTACCCTTATTCTATTTAAAATTAACTCCTTTTTATTACTATATTTTTTAATTCTAAAAATTATTATATTATAGCTACTATTTATATAGTTTAACTTAAAACCCTAATTTAAGCAGCAATATATATTTAAAGCATTAATAGATTATACCTATATTATTAACTTTAAGGTATTCCTATTAAAAAATAAACCTATATTAACCTTTAAGCTTTATTAACCTATTATAAACATTAATTAATAAATTAGGTAATAGGATAGGTTAAGCTAAGCTTTATACTTTTATTTTTTAAATTTAAACTTATAGTTAAATATATATTAATTACTTTAAGTAATAATAAAAGCTTTAAAAAAAAGTAATATATATATTTTTTAATTTAAAATAATAAGGTTAAATTAGTTAAATTATAATTTATTAATTATATATATATTAATAATATAATAATAGTTAATATTAACCTTTTTTTTAATTGCTTTAAAGCTTTAAAAATTATAAATATTTCTTTTAATTATTTTTATAACATTAATAAAATAAATATAAATTAAAGTATTAATAATAATTATTAAATAGTTATTAACTTTATTTTATATTAAACTTTTAAAAAAGCTATTAAAAAAGGTAAATGGATTATTATTTTTAAAGCTATTAATATTATTAATAATACTTTATTATTATTAATAATTTAAAAGGGTATATAAATATAAAATTAATAGTTTTTAAATTAAAATTAAAGTTTATTTAAAAATTAATACTTTAAATATTTATTTAATAAATAAATTAATAATTTTATAATATTAAAATAATTATAAAACCTTTTTATACCTTATATTTAAAGCTATTATAATAATATATAATATATATTAATATATAATAATTATAAATTATATATTAATAATAAATTTCTTTAAACTTACCTTTTAAATAAGATTTAATTTTTATTTTATAAACCTTATTATAATTATATATTATAGCTATTAAATGTTAAAGTTTTTAATTTATTAAAGAAAAAGTTAAAAAATAAACTATAAAAAATATTTATAAGCTATTTAAATATAAAACTTTCGAAAAAAGATATATTAAAAAAAGTATAAAAAATAATTAAAATATATTTAAAAGATTAATAAGTATTATTATTTTTAAAATATATAATATTTAAAAAAAAGGATATTATAAAAGTAATAATATTAATATTTATAATTAAAAAATAACCTATTATATTTAATTTATTAAAAATAGCTTTAAAAATTATAATTAAAATACTTTTTAAAAATTAATAATTATAGGTTAATATATAGAAATTAACTTAAACCTTTCCTTTATTTAATAATTTATTATAAAGGCTATTTTTTATAAAGGTTAATAAGGCCTTTAATAAAAAGGTTAAAATTATTATATTTTTATAAGTAAAAATTAAAGTATTAAAAGTTAAATTTTAAAAAAATATTAAAGTTAAATAAAAATTAATTAAAATAAATTTTAACAATAACTTCATTTATATAATATATATATAAAAGGTAAAATGTAAATTATATAATTGTTTAATATATATTAATAAAGCTACCGATTAATATATTTTAAAACGTAAGGATATTAATATAGAAAAGGTTATTAAGGTTAAAAATAATAGATTTAATTGAAAATACCAAAAAAAGCATCGCGAACAACGTATTCGTTAAGAAAATCGCTTCAGAAGTTGGGTAATTAATAGGCAGGGGGGGTGGTCGTGAGGCAGGGTTTTTGCTTATACCTAGGTCCATGTAAGTATATCTTTCTCTAATCCTGGCTCCCTGACCCTACAGATACGCAGTGCCAGGCTCGCCAGGAGGCTCGCCAGGTAAAAGCTCATACTTACAGCAAAACTGCAGTCGTGCCACATTGATGCACCTTCAAGATATATATGCACACTGAGAGCCAACAGACTGAACTAATACTGCACTTGTGGATGTTGGACCCATTCTCACACATTACGAAGAGTAATCGTAAATACCCACTCCAAAGCATGGGGGGATGTCTCGGGAATCCTGCTTGTACGGCTACTGCATTGCGTACCTAGGACGTGCAGATAACATACTCCAGTCCACTTGTGACTAAGTATGCAAGCTCCAATGACCCTCTAACCCAGGTTGGCTATTAGAGCACCTACCACCTCCAAATTGGGCAATAATAGTAACACTTATGAACATATCCTTATACCTAGCTAATATTTTGAAGTATTGGAAACTAACAGGTACCTGGGTAGTGGGTAATAGATAGCGAGGAAACAGCGCTGTTAGGAATTGATCCCAACTTACTATGCAACTTACCCAGCAAGGAATGTAGTATTCTAATGCCCAATAATGTATTACTTGACATGATTGCTTATATCGATATAACCCTAATACATTGGGAGTCCTATGTGCCATGTGCGAAGTTTGGGCTTCTTAATACTACTGCCCCTGTATAAACTGTCTCAGTCACTCCATAGTATCTATGTCAAACAAGGATCACTGAGTACCAGCTTGATTTCATCCTCCTTCATTTATCTTTTTGGAACGTATCACTCTTCGGCAAGCTAGCTAGCACGCCTGATATGGTATAGAGTGATCAATGAACATAAACTCTATAACATATCGAGCAGGCATTAAGTGATTTGATTTAGATTGATCAAAAGGCATCTAATATCAGAGAGCTCCCCGCCAACAGGAGACCGTCATTTCTCTCCTTCCATAACCCAAGGTTAGATTGCAATTCGGACTTCTTTCTGGATTTTACAATGGTTGCCCAACTCACACGTTATCACAAGATGGAGGTAGTAGTAGCGGCAGTCGCCTGGGCACTATCGGCTGTCTGTGGAAGCTTCCCACCTTCCAACACCCTCGGTCTTTGTGGGGGGAAACCTATCGAATCCCTTCTGCGTGGAAAGCTCTCCGCTGGCGCTCAGATCTACCTTTCAGGATCTGATGGCTATGCCAAAGCCACGAATCGATGGTCTGTACTGGACGCCCCGACTACGAATATAGTGGTTGTCCCCAGCGTCGCTAATGACGTATCCGAGATTGTAAGAGCCCCAACCCCGGGCGATCGCGTCTATTCATTGCCTTGCTAACTCTGCATTAGGTCAAGGTAGCTAACTCGATGAATGTTCCTTACCTGGCCGTCAATGGTGGCCATGGGGCAATCACAACAGTCGGGAAGATGAAAGGCGGAATCGAGATTTGGATGGATAGTTTGAATAGTGTTAAACTATCCAAAGATGGCAAGACTGCCACGTTCGGTGGAGGCATCTTATCGAAGGCAGTGACGGATAGTCTCTGGACTCTAGGGAAACAGACAGGTTAGTTGAGGAGTCGCCTTACATTTATCTCCCTGGGTATTCTGACTCCTACAACATAGTGACTGGCGGATGTGAGTGCACTAGCCTCCTCGGCCCAGGCCTTGGCGGCGGTCACGGTTTCATGCAAGGGAGACACGGGCTCATCGCTGACCAGTTCGTCTCTATGGACATCGTTCTGGCAAGCGGAAAATTGCAAACCTTTAACGCAAGCTCTGATCTCTGGTGGGCATTGCAAGGTGCTGGCCACAACTTCGGGATCGTCACGGCCGTGACTTCAAAGGTGTATGACATCGAACATCCGGATTGGGCGTATGTCAGTTTTCTCTACACTGGAGATAAGGTTGAGGCGTTATATCGATCAATCAATAAGTACTTGCTTCAGGATGGAGCACAGCCTGTCCACATCATCAATTACTCGTTCTTCTTTAACGACCCTAGTCTTGACCCTCACAAGGTACTTTATATAAGATAACCCGCGTGTTACTTTTACATATTCAACTAACATTTCTCTAGCCCGTCATTATGTTCTACATCCTTCAGGAAGGAGCTTCTGCTGTTGATACAGTTTATACTCAACCATTTATCGACATTGGACCTCTCATGACTAATGCCGCCGGTGGTTCTTATAAGGATTTACCCGAGTGGACTGGCAACGCGAATGATTCCCCTCCATGTCAGAAATCCGGGCTAGTTAACATCCGCTTCCCTATCGATCTTCAAGTGTATAATGTCCAGGCACAGCGAAAAGTCTACGACCTCTTCGCATCTGCTACCCAAGAAACCCCAGCACTGAACGGATCCCTCTTCCTTTTCGAAGGCTATTCAACCCAAGGTGTCAAAAAGGTTCCTCACCGAAGCACTGCATACCCGAATAGACCGGCCAATCTCCTTGTCGCTCCTTTATTGACCTACCCGCCAGGGGGTAAAAAACTTGACCGAACAGCAGCGAAATTAGGTGAGAGTCTTCGCACGATACTGTACGAAGCAAGCGGGCTGAAGGAGAAGTATACATATGTGAACTATGCTTTTGGGGATGAGACAAAGCAAAACTGGTATGGGTACGAGAGCTGGCGCCAGGATCGGTTGAAGGCCTTGAAACACAAGTACGACCCTCTTGGAAAATTCAGCTACTATGCCCCAATCGCGTAGGTAGAAGGGTCGGAGGGGAAGCATGCAGCAATGGCTTGGCCGCACTTGTTTGGTACATAGCAGGGGTTCTCACCCTTCTTCTGTTAATGGTATTAATTTTCGGCCCCCCCTCCGCTCATACGGATGGCAAGCTCAATCCTTGCGTTACTGAGTGAGTTACTATGTATGTAACGAGTCGGGTTCGATTCCTAACCGTGCTGTTGGTATTCGCTACTTAGGTTGCGTTCTTGGGATTGCGGTCTTATCAGTGACTGTTAGCTTGTAAGCGAGTACACGTGCATAAATTTCTGCTAGGTGTTCTGCAGAGGTTACCAACAGGCTGCCCATTGCATACATTGCGTGTGATGACAAGGGTTCTACCCCGATACCATTGGTTGGCTTTGACTATCTGAGCCTAACTCGGCGCTTTTTGCCCAAAGATTGATCCCCTTCAAACCTCCCGGGTGTTTTGGGCGCTACATCTGGGGCGAACTTTACCTTAATGATGTTTCTTTTAGCTAGCCATAGCCTACGGACCACTCGGCTGGCCAACAGTACCACGAGAACAGGAAAATTGCAGACAAAGCTAACCTGGGCTACTGGCCCTTGTTGGTGATGAGCATTCTGTATAAAAATATGGTGACGGATGTAAGATAAGCACCTTATTGTAGTTGGCACGAATACGATTCAAAAGTTGTTAGTGCAAAAAATGGAAGGTAAGGACATTGTAACTTCTAATTCCCACCCTGGTATAAAATCCTACGCCATTAGTTCTGTTGGTTGGGACCTGCGGGATGCTATAGTACTTGTCCGTGTTGTATTCCGGGAAGGCTTTGTGAGACCCGGTTGCTAGATTCTGAGAACGTGATCGCCGCGCCGTAATGTCACAGCTGTGCCGTATTTGGCACTCCTAGTACTGTCTAATGTCTTGCATTCTGGACCAAACTTCGCTTCCTGAATTTCCAGGCCCCCTTTCACTGATTGACGATGTTACGTTAGGCAAGCGAAGGCTTCCATAATATATTTCTACTTGGATATGAATCACTCAGAAGATACTCCCTTCGCGATGCTAGATCGGCTTTTAAACTTACCACAACATCACACAACATCACACAACGTCATTCAACGACACCGACTAACCGTCACATCCACAAATTATACCATCTCCCTATGGCGACGAAAACCACCGTAAAGGGGACGCTAGTGGGAGAGTTTTGGCATAACACTGGGGGAAAGGCAGATGTCGCTGTTGAAACTTCTTTATTGGGGCTGGTTTATATCACCTTAGCACTGAGATTGTGGTCGAGAAGTATCCAAAGAGCACAGTATCAGCTCAACGATTGGTTGATTTTCATCGCGACGGTATTTTTGCGCCTCCAGAGACCTCCTAATTCTGGGATAACACTACTAATATATCATGCTCTGTGAAATAGATCCTCATGTCTGCTCGATATGCCATCGAGGTCACCATCGTACTCAAGTGCGGGTTGGGGCTTCATATCAGTGACGTGATTGCCATTGGGGGTCCTGGGATAGCGGTACTGCTTCCAAAAGTATGTTTCTCCATACCAGACATTTCTTAGCTGACAGTTGGCAATCAAAAGCTCATATATATCATCGATTTGCTCTTCGTCACTATCGTCACCTATGTGAAGCTATCTATCCTTCATTTCTACAGTGTCATCTTCCGGCAGCGAACATTCGTCTACTTCATATATGGTGTGATAGCGCTTTGTGCGGGTTTCTGGATCGCTGCACTTCTTGCGACGGCGTTAGTCTGTATACCACCTCAAAAGTTGTGGTATCCCGAAATTCCTGGCCATTGTGGAAACAACGAGCGCTTGAATTTTGGTGTTGCGACGACGGATTTTATCTTGGATATTGTCACATTTCTGGCACCCTTCCCCATTCTATGGAAGCTTCAACTTTCCACTGTCAAAAAGATCGGCCTGTCGCTTGTGTTTGGCTTAGGTTTTAGGTATGATTCTCCTCTTTCTAGAAACGAACACCGATGTCGTTGATACTAACATAGTGGCGCAGTATTGTGGTCATAACAGCAGTCCGCTTCAAATACTTCTTCGGCGTTGACCCGAATGATCTGACGTTCACTGTCTGGCCACAAGGTATATTCTCCGCGGTCGTACCTCTGCTCGGAATTGTCAACGCAAATCTGCCCGTAATCCAGCCAGCTCTAAAAAGGGTTTTCGGTCCTATCAAGAACCTCACAGCCCTCTCGAAACAATCGCGGTCTTCTGAAAGTGCATTGGCATACGCCAAAAATCGGTCTCGCAACCTCAAGCGCTCGCCAGAGGACACGGTCCACCTTGCCACAATAGATGGTAAGTGCCCCCTCACTACTTTTAGTCAGATCACAAATTAATAATGAGATTTATAACAGTGGGCACAATGAACGGAGCGGAAGAGCCCGATCATGGAGAAGGTCGTATACAGATTACTAGAGACTGGGAAGTGCGCTCCACAGCAGCACCATACACGCCTGAAAACAACAGGTCTATGGTATAATAGATGTTATTTTGTGGATATCGCGTTCAATCAGTATACCATTGTTGTACACAATAAAACATTTCTCTAGCTGTTTACTACTGGAAGCGAAGAGTGAAATCATATAGAACTCAAGATTATCCCTTTGACCGACCGATCTAGTCTCATCAAATTACTTATCATCGAACATTTTCCCACCTACTATCATATAGGGAGTTGTGTAACTGCGTTTAAATTCTCTGAATCTCTAGCTTTCTAGATCACGCATGTCTCACAAACTGAACATGGAGCTTCGATCCTCAACTGTAGGCGTTACATAGTGCGCTACATACCCACGCTCGAACAAAAGGTCTTATTCATCTTCGCCATATCTGGCGGCACTAAGGCCTGTTGATCTGTGCCGTACTGTCGGCGGCCTAATATGTCACAGCATACACATCACACATTGATGCCGTATAGCAACAGCATTTCGCTACCGAAGTGGCTGCGTTATGCAGAACACTGCCAACAACTTACTCCCCTCCCGGTCCATATGCGACGACAGTTGTATCTAGTAACTTATATGCGTTAGGAAGCAAGCGCTGGGATCACGCCTGAAATCGGCTCTATTCGCATTGCACCCGGCGACCATAGCGGATCTCCCCCCGGTCTGTGAGGTTTGGAATGGTGTCTTATTGGTGGGCGCTGGATCACGCCAATTTCGTCTATTTAGGCTTGTTTGATTCGCTGTCTCATGCTGTGCAGTGGGATGTCAAGCAGGCGAGGCAGGCTCGGCCTCGGTCTCGGTGTGATAGTCCAGCATTGATGAGCAAGCGGATCGGAGGCATTCAGGATTCTCATGCAGCCAACAGAACAAATAGTTAGTTCGTGTACGTAGTTACGCTATTGACAGAACCGCCGATACAAGTTATTGTTGGCTCCAGGCCTGCAAGGAAGGGCAGGGGCTGAAGGAGGGATTGAACTGACCAATTGCCGTGTCTTCCGAGGTGGTGAAGAAGTTAATTTCCCTCTAGGCAGTGATGCGGCTCGTGTACGTAAACTGCAGGCGGTGTCTCTTTGGGAGCTGAAAGGGGGCTGGGGATTCTTGGCGCCGTGCTGCAGCAAGTCCGCCCGACGTGACATCGCCTCATTTCTCAGGCCTATGGCATGTAATGTCGCGATGATGTTGGTGATGTGCATTCTTGTCATGCATATAACATCCTGTTACTCGACAACATGAGTCTATCGCACCGTCACGAACGCGAGTAGGTAATGTCCTGGGTACTCTTCATCGTGGGGGTGGGATGCGTGAGGTCCATGCGTGATGTCACGGGAAATCCGCGCTGTGAATCCCCTAGAGGTTAACAGCTTTCATATCTGTTTAAGGAACAGTATAGTTTAACTCTTCTATAAGGTAATTAGAGCCATAGATTTCATTTCAACTTATAATCATGATTTTGATAATAAGGAAGAATATACTTTAAACTAAATTTTAACTTCTGAATTTGAAATTTATTTATTTATTTTATACTTCATTGAATTTCCGTAGAAGAAGAATACACGACAATTACTTTTAGCCCTTTCAGTCATTGTTTTCACCAAAATATAACACGATCCGGTGATTCCCAGTATAGGTACTTCTCTCTTTTCACTCTATCTAAAAATTATGCCCAAGGTATTCTCCCGAGACCTTGTAGCTCCTCCTTTCTAAACTCTGAACACTTTTAAGTTGTCAGACTCCATTGCATTCGAACCTGGCGATCATCTCCAGAGCGACAATCAGTCAAGTAAAGGTATCAAGTATCCCTTAGTAGAGATTAATCTCGAACAATGGAGAATCCAGGATTTGTGAGAACTCCTGTCTCCCTTAACTACCTATTCATTGACTTTGCTAAAATACTTGTAATAGCCCTTAATATTGAAAAAAGCACAAGATTTGCTGGTGGAGGCTGAAAATCTTGTGAAGTATCTCCAGGAAAGGGGTCTTGCCGAACCGGACTTCACAGTTCGCAGTGCTGAGCACCCCCAATCTCGCGAATTCGACAAAATTCGAATTGCTCTCACTCAAGCTGCCGAGGATGCCATCCTTCTTGCGAATGGTCCCGTTAACTGGCTCCGCACATTTTTCTGTCACCACCATGATCTAGGAGCATGGCAAACAGCGTTACGATTTAACTATTTCTCTATTATTCCTCTTGAAAAACCTATGTCAGTCAAAGAGATCGCCGAAAAGGCAGGTATGGATGAGGACCGCCTTTCGCGCGTCATGAAACTATTGGCATCTCAGCGTTGCTTCCACGAAGTGGAGGAAAATGTTTATGAGCACACCTCTCTCTCTGCTCTCATTGCACGAGACGAAACGATCAAAGCGGCAATATCATTTCAGTCAGTATAATCATGTGAATGACCTAGGAGGGCATATTGGTAACAAAGAACAGAGCCGATGAGATGTTTGAAGCTGCTTCTCTTACTGCTACCTCAATTCAAAAAGCCCCTTACCAATCGATTCCGGAACATAGTGCATTCAATATCAGGTTTGGTGTTTCTCCTTATCAGTGGTATACTTCCAATCCAGAACGGGGCGCGCGATTTGCTGCTGCCATGGCAGGTCTTGCTAAGAGTAAATACTTTCCATCGAAGTTATTGCCACTATCCTCATGGCTAATACTTATGACTAATGTTTTTCTCGCTACCTAAATAGTGAATAATGATACCGTGGAGCTCCGAGACCGCTTTCCATGGGACAGTCTTGGTCATCAGACTGTCGTTGATGTTGGCGGAGGTAGTGGACATATCTCAATCTTCCTTGCAAAGGCGAGCAGAATTCATCTAATCGTTTCAGTTTGATGTCATATCATCGTTGCGCAGACACTAGCTAACATTATCTTGCAGGAATTTCCCAATCTCGAGTTCATTGTGCAGGATATAAATCCTGGTATGCTCTCGCAAGGGCCCCAGCAACCTAACTATCCAGAAGTTGGTATGTAATAAACATGAGCCTATATGCAATCATTTTGTCGCAAGAAAACATTCCCTCAAGTTACGTTTATTTACTGATATCCGTTTTAGTAAGTTACGCTCTTTCATATTATTGCCAATAAAGGTTGTGGCTTGGATAATTTCAAGAAGGAAGATTTCATGTTCTAACAAAACAATATTGTTGTGCCTTCTAGGAGAAGCGTGTTTCATTCATGAGGTATGACTTCTTTCAGCCACAACCCGTCAATACCGCTAGATTGTTCCTCTTGCGACAGATCATTCACAACTATAATGACGCAACAAGCGTGAAGATTTTCAAGTCATTCATTCCCGCCATGGAAAAATCTTCGGCAAGCTTGCTAATCAACGACATGGTTCTTCCCCCTGCCAACACTGAGCCCAAAGTGGAAGAGCACCATTTAAGACAGGTTGATATAGCCATGCTCAACGGCTATGCAGCTAAGCAAAGAACCTTGGATGAGTTCTCTTCCCTCCTCAAGCAAGCCGACGAGCGGTTCGAGGTGGTGCAGTTGCATGGAAAGGGGGTGATGGGACTGATTGAGGTTCACTTGAACCAACAGCACTAGAGCCTAATAGAAAATTGTCATAAGGGCTCACGTATTGAAGCCAATTATTATTTATAATATTCACCTACCGATATGGCCCGACTAAGCTGCTGGCTACCTTTGATCACGCATGAGTTTCAACTATAAAAGCAAGGAGCATGCCGACCAACAGGCCGAATATGATATTAAGTGCCTAAGGGTATATTTAGTTACCTTCTGGTATAGCTAGCTAGGTCATAGAATTCTTTCACGGATCTCGAGTCGCCTGAGTGAATTTTTACTTGAGTAGACAAATCGTAAACTCTAGTAGAGATTTTCGTGACAGAAACCACAAGGTTAGTGCTTATGGGATGTAAGGATAACAAGACTACATCAACATTGGCTAAAATATCCACTCATAAGAATCATGACACAGCTCAACAACTATAGAACTAGGTGCTCCTGGGCTCAGAATCGCACGGAGTCAGCTCTAATTATCTAAGGTGCCTGGCATGACTCAACTAGCTGATGATAGGCTACTCCTAGTTCATGCAATCAATTCGATTCGGAGTGATTTTATCAAGAGGTGTAGTAGCGTTGTTGGCAACTCACTGGTCGAGGATAGAGAAGAATACAGAGAGAATCAGCTTTCAATCCTTGTCGTGCCAAGTATCGTTGCACTTTGTGAGAGGAGGTGTACTCAATGTTATTCATCCTGGAGGTACACTGGCATCTGTAATCGTAGGTCAAAACAAGAAATTGTTTATGTTTAGCCATTCGAGCGTGTTGGTTCTTTTGTGCTTCGGACGCCTGCATGTGCAGAATGTTGGTTGTAAGCCAAGTCTTATGGCTAGGCCCCAGGCCCAACTACAGCCCACTTGAATCCCTTTAATTGGCTACCTAGGTAGTATACGGATCTTTCTGGATTCCATCCCACATTGTAACGCTGTCTATCACACACGGTCAGATGAGGTATCGCTATACTAATACAAGGGAGAGCCGGGATGCAGACACAGAATCATGAACCATGTAGATAAAGCTTGCGTAGGTATCATTCTACCACTCACAGATAATATGTATGGAGATAAAAATAGGCGACTACCCAAGACTGCAGAGGTGCATCGACTGCCGTATAATAGGTGGTACTTGTTAGCTAACCCCTTCTCTTAGTATACTCCGTTTCCTTATGCGGTGCCCCTACCGCATCGTCTCCTCCGATGTCTGTATCATTGCGGCGAAGTCGACACAAGAGCGGTATTCTCACAGCCTTAAGGACTATAATAGTATAGATGCTCTATTTATGAACGAACCCCCACATGTTGTATGCAGCTAGCCCGGGGGAAAGCAACGATTTAGGTACTACACCGATAATGATGCGAAGAGTATGTAGATAAAATAATATGCGTTTCTTACAAGACTACCTACTTGTCGCTCGTGGCTGCAGAGGATCCAGTTATGGCTTGTAGTTTTGCTGGATATAGCTACAATACAATCACTTTGACTGTTCGTACTCGACAGTGTATCGGACAAAACCTCAGATACTATTGATTTGTTTAGTGCAAAACCTCGAAGTTGGAAGATGGAATGTACGGAACCCTCAAATTCAGGGGCAAGCGCTTCGAACCCTGTCATCCCAGAGCCAATAGCTATTGTTGGAATGGGTAAGAGCATCTCAAGTCGACCTCGGTACAATCGCTGATTAATTAACTGCATAGGCTGCCGATGGCCCGGTGGTGTTCGGAATACGTCACAACTATGGGAATTACTTAAAAATGGTAAAGATGGATGGGCAAAATTTCAAGCTGATCGTATTAACCTGGACGGGTATTACCATCCAAATGGCCAGCGACCTGGTAGCATGTTCACTACAGGGGCTCATTTGTTACAAGAAGACCCTAGGTATTTTGATCATGCCTTTTTCGGAATATCGGCAGCAGAAGCCTTGTCGATGGACCCAAGTCAGCGAAAATTACTTGAAGTAACTTATGAGGCTTTTGAAAACGCCGGTGAGCCGTGGCATAAGTTTTCTGGCTCAAGAACTGGAGTTTTCATAGGGAATTTCAACAATGAGCATCAAGTTATGCAGTTTCGTGACCTAGACCATCCCCTGCCTTATGTTGTAACTGGGGGCGGCGCAACCATCCTAAGTAATAGGATCAGCCATGTCTTCAACTTGAGAGGTCCAAGGTACGAAAACATTTTCCTATATAAATTTCGCACACTTTTAGGGTTACTAGAATCCCAAACCGAAAGCTAACTTGGGAACGGACAGCATGGTCGTTGATACAGCATGCTCGGCCTCAATGTATGCACTACACCTTGCCATATTATCTCTTCGTAATGAAGACTGCGATGCTGCTATTGTCGGCAGCGGAAATCTCATTCTGAATCCCGAGGCCCAGCTATTCACGACCAAGCTTAACGCTATTTCACCCACTTCTAGGAGTCATACCTTTGACGCGGCTGCTGATGGCTATTCACGGGCTGAGGGGTTCGGGGCGATATATGTCAAAAGACTCTCGGATGCCCTGGCTCAAGGCGACCCCATCAGAGCAGTCGTCCGCGGAACATCTTTCAACGCAAATGGAAAGACAGGGGGGATTTCACACCCGAGCCCAGAAGGACAAGAAGCAGTGATCAGGCAAGCATATAAATCCGCAGGTCTGAGTATTTCGGGGACTGGATATTTCGAGTGTCATGGAACAGGAACACCAGTTGGCGACCCTATCGAGGTTGCTGCCATTGGAAGGGTATTTGCTGCGGTGAACCAAGATGAGCCTTTACTGATTGGGTCTGTAAGTTCGGCGCCTTTTTTCTGTTCGTAAATGCAATGATTTAACTGGCTACATAGATCAAGCCAAATTTAGGACATAGCGAGCCAGCCAGTGCCCTAGCCCAGATCATGAAAGCAGTTTTGGCTATGGAGCATGAAGAAATACCAGCCACAATAGGAATCGAGAAATTAAATCCAGCCATTGACTTCGATAAAGCTCATGTTGAAGTTGTGAGGAGCTTGAGGCAATGGCCAAGCGCCAAACTTCGCCGAGTAAGCATTAACAGGTAAGATTACGATAAGTTCCGATGCAATTACGTTGTCTAACGAATAATCTTTGCAGCTTCGGTTATGGTGGTGCAAATGCCCATTGCATTCTAGACCATCCTACCGTGGTACTCCCCAAGTACCGACTTGGTGGTCGTGCGCTTCCCATCACCCAAGACTTGAATGGAGTGAGTTCGAGTAGTATTAAGTGGGATGACCATAAAGTGTTGCCCCAAACTAATAACTGCTTTTCGCCGTCTGAATGGATACAGTCTCCCAAAGCTGAGGTTCGTCGAATTGTGCTGATCCCTGTATCTTCCCATGATGATCGCGCCTTGGATAAATCTATCAGGGCCATCGCGGGAGCTGCTAGCAGGTACAAGCTAGCCGATCTTCTCTACACTCTCGGGGCCAGGAGGTCTTGTTTTAATCTTCGCGCATTTGCGGTGATGCATCATCAGCTCCCCAGCCGCAATCTCGATGTCAACTTAATGACTGTCAGCAAAGCTCCTAGCGCTGTGTCCCAAAAAATTTGTTACATCTTCACCGGTCAGGGCGCTCAATGGCCTGCTATGGGTGTAAAGTTAATGAATGAATATGGAGTCTTTCGAAACACCATTCGATATCTCGATTTAATACTCGGGCAATTGCATGAAAGACCAACCTGGAGAATTGAGGACGTGCTCCGGGATTCATCAACTACAAGTCGAATCCACGAACCCGCTTTTGCGCAGACTATTTGCACGGCCCTTCAAATTTCATTAGTTCACTTGCTGAGACATTGGGGAATAGCGCCGTCCGTTACGATTGGCCATTCTTCAGGTAAGATGATGTTTTTTATTTTTCTGTTTCCCTTTGAAATCTGCTCTACGGGGTAGTTACTGAATAGATAGTAGGGGAGATTGCCGCAGCGTATGCAGCTGGTCGCCTGCTAGCGAGCGAGGCCATCATTATTGCATATTTCCGTGGCCAAGCTATGCTAAATAACAAGCAAGACGGCTTGATGATTGCCGTTGGTCTCGGTGCAAAGGCAATCAAGCCCTATCTCGTCGGATTCGAGGAAGAGGTGAGAATTGCAGCTATTAATTCTCCGGAAAGCACGACACTATCTGGTGGCAGCGCAGCAATACTTACTCTGGTTGAAACGTTCCTTTCTCATAATGTGTTCACTCGAATCCTAAAGACCAACAATAACGCATATCATTCCCATCATATGCTAAGCCTCGGGGAGGATTACGAAAATAAGATAAGAAGCGCCCTTCACAATTGGAACGTTGACTATAGTGAGCCGCGGCAGCCGCTAGCAACCTGGATCTCCTCCGTGAATCCAGAAACGCAAGCAAATGCCAGCAATCCACGGTACTGGAGGCAGAACCTGGAGTCTACAGTTTGCTTCTCTGATGCCTTCTCAAGACTAGCTCGGGATATGTCCGTGATGGATCTCGCGATAGAGATAGGACCTCACACGGCTTTATACGGGCCTTACAAACAGATCCGTAAGGTAGAGCCTACGCTTCCACCCTACTTGGGATCACTCAAGAGAGGCAAGGACGATGTCGATTGCATGCTCACACTAGCCGGCCATCTGTACCTGAACAATGCTCCTGTCGATCTAGTTGCTGTAAATGCATCGGAACAACAGACAAAAGACGGGAATATCCGATATTTCTACGGTTACCCATGTGTTGATATGCCACAGTATAGCTTTTCATATCCTGAAAAGCCCCTTTATCTCGAAAATCGATTCAACCGAGAGGTCAGACAACGTCGATATCTACGACACGACCTCCTTGGATCAAGACAAGCTGGTGGTTCTGCATCATGTCCATCTTGGAGGAATATTCTCAAAATCAAAGACTTACCTTGGCTTGCTGATCATAAACTTGTCCCTCTTACGGTCCTTCCCGCCGCAGCATACCTTACAATGGCTGCGGAAGCGGCTCGGCAAATTCATAATGAACAAGCGCTTGACGAAGGAGCCGACTTCAGTCCCATCCACTCGATTAAACTTCGTACGGTCGCTATCAAATCAGCAATGCGACTTGAAGAGAGTGAACATGGTATAGAAACAATAACACATGTGGAGAGACTAGGACCGAAAAGTCCCAATTTTGGGCCGATTTGGTATAAGTTTATTATTGAATCTATGCCAGTTGGGGATGGTGGTAGCTGGACAGAGAACTGTTCAGGGGAGATCAGTGTGGAAACTAGGGAAACGAAAATCGATCAATACGAGCAACTGTCAATCGACCCGCAAGCACGGTTGCTTGACGTGAATCGCTGGTATGATGAATTCCTGGCGGTTGGGCTTAGCTTCGGCCCAACTTTCCAGTGTCTTTCGAAGCTCCAGGCATATCGTGCTTCCCGTAGTGCTGCTGCACAGGTCTCGCTGAATTCAACAGACGGTACCATCAACGGTGGCGAGTCAGAATACTTCACGTTGCACCCGACAGCTATTGATGCTTGCTTACAGCTCGCTCTCATTGCTGTGCATGCTGGTCAGGTGGAAAATTCAAAAAGGGCTTTCGTACCAGTATTCCTAGATAATGTTTCTCTTTGGGTCTCCGATCTCTCACAAACAAAGGCCCAAGCAGTAGCGTGTGGCCAATTTATTGGAGAACGAAGCGCTCACGCCAAAACTCAGCTATTTTCGAACTCAGGACGGCCATTGTTATTTATAGGAGACATGAGATGTGTCATGTTTCACGGAAGCGCCCGCCACAATGAGTTTCCTGACACCGCTTATGAACCGTATTGGAAGATCGACTCAATGGTAGACGTGGTTACATTGAGCAATGAGCAAGCCCAACGTCTATTCTCCCCAGCCACGCGTTCCGGATCTGAAGATGAGCAAATTGAAGAACTTTGCAAGCACGTTCTCGTCGACATGGAGCGGATAATGAAGGAGCATCCGACTGATACACAGGCACTAAGTCCCTCCCCGTTTGCGTTGTGGATACAGGATACAAATATACTGTCCACTTCACAGGAGATTTCCAAACTGAATGTTGACGAAATACAGAGCAATATAAGAAAGGGGTTCTCGGATCTGAATCACATTCTAGAAGTTCGATGCATTGAAGAAATACACAACAATATAGAACGGGTTCTCTCCGACAAAACAGATATTACTAAGTTGTTGATCGATAATGCTCTTCTCGACCAACTATATAGTTGTGGTATAAGCGTGAAAGAGGCCCACAACCAACTTCGGAAATTAGTAGACCTCTTCACGCACAAACACCCCAGAAGCCACATCCTGGAAGTTGATGGCGGCACAGGCGGGGCTACTGCATCCGTACTTGAGGTTCTTGGGTCAAAATTTCCGTCTTTCAAGCGATTCGAAAGTTATACCTTCACAGATCCTGCAGACTGGTGTGTGGCAGGTGCTCGGGCTAAATTTTCTGATTATAGGGGAGTGAATTACCATGTTTTCGATATTCGGCAAGACTCCCAAACTCAAGAGCTAGCGGGACGATCATTCGACTTGATCATCGCTACCGATAGTATGGGGAGATTTTCCAATGATGTAACGTTTCTAAGGAATGCTTCCAATCTGTTACGACCAGGAGGGGCACTCATTCTAGTGAAGCCTACACGCAAAAGACTTTACATGGAAATACTCTCTCGTTCATCGACAGGTTCTTGGTGTCAAAAGTATAACATCAGAGGCTTAGATGAATGGAATCAGTGTCTCATGAATTCTGGCTTCTTTGGAGCACATGTTGCCCTTGACGATGTTAGTTTTATCCTCTTTAATATGGAATCTCTGATTATTGTGCTAACTTAGCCCACTTAAGTATGCAGGAGACGAATCATTGTCGACCACAATAATAGCGTTCACTTTGGGCAACCCGCAGGGCATCCTTGAAACCAGTCAGCCAAAACGCAACATTTACTTGGTCTATCGTGACTATCCTCCCCCACTTGCAGGATATATTAGCAAGGTGATCGAGCAGTATGAATATCGATGTATTTACGTCAGCCTTTCGTCATGTGATCAAGTTCCATTAGGCGCATCTGTCATTTCGCTGGCGGATAGTGAGAACAGCACTCTTCTCCAGTCTAGTTCGGAATGCTTCGAGCAGATTCAGTCCCTGGTTGCAAAATCATCAGTCCTTGCATGGATAACCACATTTGATGCAGGCGTCAATTATAGCGAATCGGCTGTCATGAAAGGAATTTTGCGATCTGTGGCAACTGAGAACGTCAACATGAAGGTAGCCTACTTGGAGATCTGCAAAAGCGAATCGTACTTCAACGATTTGTCGAGAACAGCTGAGCTCATCACCTATAAGATCTTTCAAATGGAATCCTCCGGGCCCGATAGTATGATTGACCGCGAATGCATACTGCGAGATGGAAGCCTGCACATTCAGAGGCTAGTACCAGATGCACGCCTCAACGAAGCATTTCGCCTGAGGAATAAACTTCAGGAAGATATGCAGGAGTCCTTAGTTGACACCAAAAAGGCATTGAAACCTCGTTACAAGAACCCTGGCTTGCTTTCTTCAATGTATTTTGAACCAGATCAAATGCCCTCAGAACCACTGAAGGAGGGATGGGTCCAAATTCGGACGCAGGCCATCGGTCTCAACATGAAAGTAAGAACGTTTCCCCACATATACTCAGAATGAATTTGTTTAATTGACTGTTGACTGCTAGGACATAGCAGTCGCTACGGCGCGGTATGATTCAAACTACCAAAGCCATGAAGGGTCGGGTGATGTTTGTCAAGTTGGCCCAGGAGTAGGCCCATTTAAGATAGGAGACCGTGTCTTCGGTCTCATGTTTGGTAACATGAGCACATATCTTCGGTGTCCTGTGCAATATATCTCCAAAATCCCCGAAGGAGAATCCTATGTCTCAGCTGCTTCACTACCGATATCGTATCTCGCTGCTATGTATGCCCTTCAGCGGCTTGCGAGGATAGAGAAGGGCGAGACGGTGCTGATCGAATCCGCCGCAGGAAGCCTTGGTATCGCAGCAATGCAGATTGCCAAGCACCTGGGTGCTGAAATTTACGTGACTGTTGGTAGTGATGGCAAGAGAGATTTCATTATCAAGAATTTCGGTCTTCCGCCGTCGCAAATATTCCGCTCTCGCCACCCGACTCTGATAGAGGACATCATGCGAGCCACACGAGGACGAGGGATCGACGTTATCCTCAGCACGACTCAGCACGCGATGCATGAGATGTGGAGGTGCATCGCCCCCCTCGGCAGGTTCATTGATCTGGGAAGAACTGCCGTCCTAGGTGCTGAAAAGCTGAGCCTCGAGATTTTCCAGCGCAATGCTACCTTTGCATCATTTGACATCGTCGCCATTGCTTTAGAGAAACCCCAGGTCATTGAAGAGTGAGCACATTCTTGATTACGGTATCATTTCTTTTAATTTTTTTTCCTCTCGAAAACCTAACGAATATTCTCGTAGATTGATGTGCGATTTGAAGCGTATGTGGACGAACGGGATAGTCGTCCCTGTTGCACCTATAACATCTTTTGAGATATCCCAACTGGCCTCGGCAATGTCGTTTTTTACCAAGGGACAGCATATGGGTAAAGTAGTCCTCGATTTCAACAAGTCAACAATACCAGCAAAGGTAGGTCACTCATCTCAGGTACAGAGTCGGTCTAAAGCTTATGTAATCCAGGTCTTGCGTGATATGCCTCAGATTAGGTTGGATCCGGATGCTGGATATTTGTTTGCTGGCGGGCTCGGCGGCCTCGGTCGATCTCTATCGTGTTGGATGGTTGAACGTGGTGCACGCCACATAATATATTTGTCTCGTAGCGGAAGCAAGCGACTGGACGTTGACTCTTTTTTGAAACGCCTTGCTGACATGGGAGCTTGTCCTGAAGTCTTCAGCTGCGATATCACAAGCTTGGACTCCTTGACTTCAACAATATCACGCGTTTCCACCCGACTGCGGATTCGAGGACTAATCCATGCTGCTATGATAGAGGGTGTAAGTTATCACAATCCCACTCTACATTGACGGATTTCAGGCTAAATATTGTTCCAAGGACGCCTTATTTAGTAGAACGACATACTCTCAGGTTCAGGCCGTCCTTGCTCCTAAGGTCGCAGGGACAGTTAACCTTCATTTGGCAACGAGGCGTCTACCCCTTGACTTTTTCCTCATGACGTCTTCCACCGTTGGAGTTATAGGAACTTCAACGCAATCGGCATATTGCGCGGCTAACGCTTTTCAGAATGAGTTTGCTCGTCAGCGCCGCTCAGAAGGCCTACCGGCTACCTCGCTTGACCTGGGTCTGATACTCGAGGTTGGATCCGTCAGCCAGGCGAAAAATGTGCAACAGTCTTTACAACGTGTCGCAACGTACGGTCAATCGGAGACGGAGTTCTTACAGCTCGTAGAAGGAGTCTTGTGTGCAGCCCAAGATGATCCACGGCCATGCAGCGGTTCTCAGGGGCATATTATTACCGGATTAGAACCGCGACGCTTCGTGGCACAATGGGAGAATAACCGAGCCTCCGATTTAGTTTGGTACAAAGATGCCCGCTTTCAATCTGTTGTGCAAGCTATCTCGGATCAAGCGCGTTCCAGACCATCAGCAGCCATGATGACTACGCGAAAAAGCCAGCCAGTGTCTATGAGGCTGACAACCGCAGGGTCCTTGCGGGAGAAGACGACTATTGTACAAGAGGCCATTTCAGCTTATATTTCGGGGCTGTTAGGCGTAAGTGCGGATGAAATCAATGTCAACAAAGCAATGTCCAACTATGGGCTAGATAGTCTGGTGGTCCCTGAGTTACAGAATTGGTTCAGCACGAATTTCGGGATGAAAGTTACGACGATCCAACTATTGGGTGAAGAAGCGACAGTGGCCAATCTAGCGAGGAGAGCAATCGAGGGTATTCAGGATGACGGCTCTTTAGTGGCTTAAGAGTTCTTAGCGGATCATTGCTCTGTAGACCAAATCTGTATACGCCCTTTATGTATGATATATCGCACGTACCAGACTTACAGCATAAAATACACGTAACCTAATATAGTCACTTCCGACCTTCAAGAAGCGAATCGTAAAGGAGTGCAACCAGGTGTGCTATAACATTAATGATTTAACAACTAGAAAAGGAGCCTATGCGACGGTAGTACCTAGAAGATAGGTAGGAAACCAAAGACAATAAGCCGCTATAGTTATAGCAGGTTAAGCCACTAATCCCACTATATCTCTAGCGCCTAGTCACTATATTTATAGAAGGGCTAATCGCACAAATACACGATGAAGCTTTTTATTCTTCAAAGTAATTCAATGAGAGCATGCAAGTCCTACTTGATCACAGAGGCTCTATTGATATGACTGATCACTATGGGCTTTCTCCATCCCTTTGGACTTTCATTCCCAAACAACGGACCGCAAACCCTCTACTCTTTCTCAAGTAGTCGAATTCAAGCCCACGTACTGGGGCTGGACTCTGCTGGACTATGCTGTCTTGAGATATTCTAGTGTCGTGCGGTCCCTCCTTGACATACTGTACCTATCTGCTCCCAACCGGGTTCGTCACGGCCGGTCCGAACTTCGAGTAGCAGCTCCTGGGAGGCATTCGGATACTGTCAGAGAATCACTGAGCTATGATACTTTGACAATCGACAAGGGCCATCAGCGGGAGCCGCTGAGTAGGGCTTCGGGCGCCCGTCGCACTCCTTTTTCCCTTGGCCCTTTGAACCACCAGCCGGAGATCCCCTCTAGAAAGCGCGCCGGCTCACTTCGTAGGATTCAATTCTTATAGTTGATGTGTCATTTTAAATCGCTGTGTCAATTGAGTATTTTTCGGTCTGCGGAAGATATGCTCTGGTACTGCGGAAGTCCGAAAACTTTGCTTCAATGAAAGTGATGACCCCGGATCAAGGGGGTAGGTATTCCTGGGTGAACCTAGGACTATATGTACCTAGTCTAGGTAACTATTCGGAGTATTTGTATGACCTTATTGCTACGCTTACATGCTTGGCATACTGCACACCCCTTGCTACACCCACAAACGCTTTTAGACAGCTCCAGGTTATCGTCTATTAAATATTGAATAGTTTCATGGTATTCAATTTAGGCATATGGCCAAGAACCTTTTGGTAACAAAAGATGGCAGCATCTATGTCTACAAGAGGCTACCCCTTTCTCCTGCTAAAAGATCTATGACAAGATACTCCTGCAGTACGGCTGACATCAACACTAAGTAGTGCAAATCACCTTTAAATAGTATTCTGCTATGCATATATCGCATGTTTCACTGACTGCCATACACTTACTGCTAGTAGTCAAGCTAAACAGAGTCTAGAGCCTCAAGCACCACACAACCAAGAACTTCACGATATGAACAACAGCGATTGATGTGTAATTACCAATGACAATTCAAATAGAACCCTGTTGTCATCAGCTCAGATAACGTAATTTCCACTCACTCAAGTTACCGAATGACTTCCTGTAGGCCGAAGGAGAAAAAGACATAGTCTCACTCGGAGGGGAAGAAAATGACTATCGCTCGCTCAAGGACATCAAAACTAATGCGCGCACTCTAGGACGATGTAGTGACAACTCGTCTTTAGGGGGTCATTCAGACTTTGAGTGGGCTAAGCCGCGGCCCCTTCTCCCCAGCTACCGTACTGTAGATATACCGACCCGACAACCCCTGTCTGCAAGGAAGAGAGTTGCGCACCCCGCGGCCCCGGAAACCCCACGTCTTTTCCGGGTTCCGATGAGCTACCAAGTCATCAAGAATAGCTTCGATGGGAAGTTGCTTATTAATTTTCCCACGCACGTATTCTCTAAGGGACTCATTTTCGTGAGTAGTATCAATGACAATTGAGTCATCGTAGACAAAATACAGTGCCAGAGCATGACACAATTCTCCCGCAATTGAACGTCTTATTGGCCATGTCATCATAGAGTTGGATACGCCACCAATTGATACATACTGTTCTTCAATAACCTAGGAAGCAATAATCGTAATATGAGTGTACGCTAATCCAATTTCACCTTGCAAACGATAATAAGCTACGCTATAGGCGCCGTGACGGAACGGCGTACCGTACGGACAGAGCAGGACTTAAGGTTGGCTGGGTGGTCAGGCGCATGAATCTCCGTGATAGGTGCTGTGTCTGTTTCATAGGGTAGCAGGGTGCGGCACTCCATGGGGGATCTATTAATAATCTCAAAAGAGGAAAACAAGGACAATTATATAATCTACCTTGAAGGCAAAGGTAATGGCGGACTAAGTAGTAGATAAATTAATAGATATGTCAGCGAAATAACCTTCTCGCAACATCTTGTCTTAGGTGGTTTCCCCCTGACTATCCGTTACCCTATGCGTATTGATATCAAATAGTTATTTGTATGACAATTCTCTCTTAACTTTCTCTTCTTACCGTTGATACCTGTTTTGTTTCATTTTCCAGATCAAGGAGTTGAGATTAGAGACCAAAGCCATGTCAACTACCCCAACAACAGCAGACGAGAAGCTGGAATCACAACCGTGTGAAAGTGTAAATGGGGTAAATACAAATCACCTGCTCGCTAGATAATCATACTAAAAAAATAAGCAGTCTCAGTCTCGAAGTTCTATCTCCGAAGCCCACCGCCAGTATGTCATAGAGCGGCATGGAACGGACCAATTAGCCCCTTTCCCAGACTACAGCGATGAGGACCCATACAACTGGCCGCGATCTAAGAAATGGCTTAACCTGGCCTTCGTCGCGTTTCACGGGTTTATGTCGACGTTTACTGCCGGCGCTATTCAATCCGCCTTCGAGAACATCGCTAGAGACCTCCATGTGAGCTTACAGCAGGCGAGCTATCTTGTATCACTCGTGATTGCGATAATAGGCATTGCACCCTTTTTCTGGATGCCCCTAGCTGATCGATTTGGTCGACGCCCCATTCTCCTCTGGTCTCTTGTTATTGGTCTGGTCGCTGACGTGGGCTGTGCGAAGAGTCCTTCATATGCTACAATGGCCGTATGTCGAGCCATCGCGGCTATTGGAGCTAGTCCTGCCGCAGCGATCGGGGCTGGTATGGTGCAGGAGATGTTTTTCAAGCATCAGAGAGGGCGATACATGGGAATATGGACTGTGTTTGTCACATTAGGTGTCCCAATTGGTCCATTGGTATTTGGTTTTGTTGCCTTTCGAGCTGGGTATCGTTGGATATACTGGGTCTTGGCGATTGTAAGTCTGTGGCTTTACATTGAACCCCTTGAGCACGCTTGCTATTTTGGCTTGAGTCAGAGTGCTGATACATTTCCTCCGAATAGACTAGCGCTGTGCTGCTAATTATATATTTCTTCTACGGCGCAGAAACTCGATATATCCGCGGTCAGGAGAAACAAGCGCCCAAAGGCCTTTTTAGAAGCTTATTCTATCGTATTGACCCGACACCGATGACTTTACAGGATTTTGTCCACCCTCTTTACATCGCACGACTCCCCTGCGTCACCTTGCCCACTATCGCATACGCCATGGTCTTCGCTCTTGCAAGCGTATTTCCCACAATCCTGCTCCCTCAACTCTATTTTGAGAATTTTCATTTTAATACAGAAGAAGTTGGCCTACAGAGCATATCTGTAATCATCGGGACCATTATCGGCGAGCAGATCGGTGGTCTATGCTCCGATCGCTGGATGAACAGCAAGAAGGGTAAACGCCACCCTCCCGAGTATCGTCTCTGGCTATCCTTTATCGGCTACGCGCTTTCTATTGTTGGAATCGCCGTGTTCCTCGTCCAGCTGCAGCATGCTGGCAATATGTGGAACGTCACGCCTACAGTAGGCGTGGGCATCGCAGCTGTGGGAAATCAACTCATTACTACCGTGATGATCACATACTCTGTCGATTGTCACCACGAAGAGGCCACATCTATTGGAGTGTTCGTCTCACTTGTGCGTCAGATATGGGGCTTCATTGGTCCTTTCTGGTTCACTCCGCTGATCGCGAATGTTGGGCTCATACCGAGCACGGGTGTTGTAATAGCATTAATTGCCGTAGCAAGTATTTTCCCGACTATACTACTCTTGTGGAAGGGAAGAACCTGGCGTACATTGGACGAGTAAAGAAGGATCAATACAAGGAATTAGAAGTGAGTAACGGTCCTCGCAGCGGCATCTCGTGTTTGGGCCCCTTACAAATCCCTTAACGTATGCGCTTGCATTTTCGAGGCTAATACATGCCAATTTAGATCATAAGATCGCTACTGACAGGTAGAACTGAAAGCCAGAGACTATTGATTAGTGAAAAGAAAATGTGGGATTAAACAGGTGAATTTTTATAACGCGACGTCACTAGCGAGGAGCCTTACAAGGCAGGCACAATATATCTTCAATCTACAGTCAAGTAGTATACAAGACCTAAGCTTGGGGGATCTACCTAGTCGACTACTATTTGTACCTGATTTCAATCCGCTTAGTTAGCCATAATTTGTGCCGGTTCGGTATTTGCCCACTCGATCGCTTTGGAAAAGGCTCTCAGCACTTCAATTTTGTCTATATTTGCCTGGAGTAAAGAAATAAAGTTCTTCGTAATAGCTTCATAACGTCACCATCGAAGAAGCCTTCAGTTGAACCCTCTTTGAGGAGAAAAGCGAGTTGAGGAAGATTCAGTAGTGCTCTGGGCAGATATTTTCGTTGAGAAAAATGAGAGAATTATCTACGGCTATGCAGGCTACGACCAACTGCATGGTCCTGACGATAGTTGTGATCATGTAGAGCATGTAAGACTTTCTATACAGCACCAATGGGACAGTAGGTTATAAAAAGCCTCACGAAGGTGAGAAGTAATGTTCAAGTGAACGAGCGCCACATGCAGGAACAATCTAACACGGAACGAGTATAGGAATGTAGTAACTATAACCGCTACACTACCAAAAGGTGAACGACGTTATCAGGCCGAGCCCCTGCGTCTCTACACTCAACTATATTACCGTGACACGATCAGTTGACTTCTATTCAGAGAACTTCTATTGAAGCTCTCGCCTGTATGCCTAGGTATGAAGGTCTTCATATAATCGGCAACGTCCGCAGCCAGGTTCTGCCACTCCGTATTCACCAGTATGTGAGTCAGACCGTGATGAAAGGATTGTTTTTTTTGGGTTGCTGTGCCACCACGGAGACCATCTAGGTCAGGGGTGACATGTAAGCAGGCACATGTCTATACATCTAACAATCCAATACTCGCATGAATGGTTATCTAGCTTGTAGTGTAATAAATAGCAGTAGCTTTTTTAAATTACTTCTCTCATATTCGTCTGATGTAGGTGTCAGTCACTTGTTCTTTCTTCAGAATACCACCAATTGCTCTATCTTCATTATAGCCTTCCTACCTAGTCTCCGCCATGTTTCCAAGACGTGTCGCGTCTACATTCTATCATGCCACGACTCGTTCTGGTACAGCACAATCGGGGACCCCGAAGGCCGCAATCAGTGGAGCTCATCGTTTCTGGAGACAGCTATCTTCTGCTAGCTGTACCAATACTTTAGAAGACGCCTTTGAAGCCGCCTGCTCTACGCGCGAGATTCCCGGGGTGGCTCTGCTGGCTTCCAATCGAACCGGTAAGGACATACCAATTTCCCTCACCTGCCAATAAAATCAGGTTCTTGGCCTCACATCACCCTGAAGATAGCTGGAACTACTGCAAAGCATTCGGTCGCCGGTCTGTTCATGAGTCTGCTAGCGAGGAACCCCTTGACGAAAACTGTTCGATGTGGATCGCCTCGTGCACCAAGCTCTTAACATCGATTACCTCCATGCAATGTGTCGAACGCGGCTGGGTCGGTCTCGATGACGACGTCCGGGATATTCTACATGAACTCAAAGATATCGATATCTTGAAACCCAAGAGCACGTCCCAGGGCCTTTCGACTACCAAGAATGTCCGGCCCATCACGTTAAGGCATGTTTTTCTCTTGCTCATTCCAGATACTATGATAACTATATAGTCTCACAATGCTCATCCGTCTAACACCTTATAGGCATCTGTTGACACACACATCTGGTTTCGCATACGAATTCAACGAGCCGATTCTTCAAGAGTGGCGCCGACAGCAGCCAGAGGATCAGAGAGGTTCTTGGGCCACCCTGCGCGGTCGCTTTCAGCATCCTCTTGTATACGAGCCGGGTCAGTCATTCTTCCGGCCCTCTCCATCTATCCCGAACTTTCTAAGATAATTATTGTTCCTCTAGCTCCCACAATGTGACTAATCTTCGACTTAGGCACTAGCTGGTCCTACGGCCCCTCGATCGATTGGGCGGGACTTCTCGTCGAGCGCCTGAGTGGCATGAGTTTACAAGACTACAGTTGATTGGCCCCTGAATCCATCTTTTGCCCGCTCTGTTCACTCCCGGAGGTCATAGTTACCTATTAGGGGCATAAGTGTGCCTTGGGAGCATATAGAACTTCCGGACCCCTAGCTAAAGAACGGTTACTAACTCAAGCGATTGAAGTGGCTCGCAACATCTGGGAACCCTTGGGTATCAAATCGATGACATTCTTCCTCTTGACTAGGCCCGATATGCAGTCCAAGGCCGCATCCATGTGTTGGCGCGAATGCGAAAGCGTTGCGTCTGAAGAATTCTCGCCTGTTGTCCACGCCGAGCGTCAGCCGACACTAGAACCCGATTTAGAGGACTGTCTTGGTGGTGGCGGGATATACGCTACCCCATCTGAGTACATCAAGGTTCTTCGCGCGCTCCTTGGCGATGCCTCTGCCGGAAGTGTGTCTGATGCCGCCCCTCCACCCTCGGCGCAGCTGCTACGTCCCTCGACTGCCGAGGCTATGTTCGAACCCCAGTTGAATGAATCCGGGCGTAAAGCTTTGCAGGCCGTCTCCGAGATCCCGAAGCTCAATCTCATGATGGGCGGCATGCCTATGGCGACCAAGAAGGATTGGGGCCTCGGTGGAATGTTGGTCATGGAGGACTTGCCTGGCTGGCGCCAGAAAGGCGCCATGACGTGGGGTGGCACGCCGAATCTCACCTGGGTAAGTACACGGACACCACCCGAATCACTATGAGGCATAATTGAACCTATTTTCCATACGTCGCAAGTAAACTCTCTTTATTTCGATCACTGCTGACTGCTGCCACACCTGTAGTGGATTGATCTCAAGGCGGAACTTTGTGGGCTTTATGCCGGGCAGCTGATGCCCCTTGGAGACAAAAGATCGGTCGAGCTAACACAGTTGTTCGAACGGGAGATGTATGCTAGATATAGACAGACAACAAGCATGCCAAGCGGAGAGGTATAGTAGACGGTCCGGTATCACGTTAAGTGCACAATCATTAGACACGGTCCGGTATCACGTTAAGTGCACAATCATTAGACACAGTTTCAAAAAGTTGGTGTTGAAAACATGCCTAAGTTTTATTCATTCTCCACTCAGCCTTCCATTGCGGAATATCACACCATTGAACTACTGTTATGTCTTCTAGTTATCTCTCTCTCTCTCTCTCAAAACCAATTGGCCTTTGGTGATGAGTAGAGTTCGCAATGGCATCGCACAACACATTTCACTTAGGAGAGACTGACCATGTTTGAGAAGTATAGATATATTGAGACCTCCCGTGGAGACCAATGATGGAGTTAATGATTGCGCGAGAAACTAGAGTAGTTTTCTCTTCCTTTTGCCCTGCATACCCGAATCCGACCCGTGCATAACCCCTACGAACCAAAACCTTGACCAAACCCATTGCCACCGTCACCCCGTTCCGAATCCCCCATCCCCGTTCCGAGGAAAAAAGCCATTGTTAAGTGTAGCGAAGCCCAAAGAATGGTACCGGCGACGCCCAGTTGTCACAAGATTCGCTGTCGAAGTAGACGAATCAAGCTGCAAAGGGCGGTGTTATTGTTGTGTGAGCTGCTGGTGGGAGCCGCTACACTTAGTAGAGACCGACCACAATGTCACCGCGGACGCGGGCTGAAAGGTGGACTTCGGCCTCGAGATCGAGCTTGACACCGACGAGGAGGGCGGCGCTCTTGAGCTTTCCGTCGTCATCAATGGGTCCCTTGATGAGGTTGCCTATCGGATATCGTGGTTAGCTGTTGCTGGACCAACTGGAGTACCCCCAGGAGGAAGGAGAGGAGATATAAGCTGCTGTTGACCTACCAGCAACGTTGTTGCCAGAGCCGGACAGACCAGGCATGGGAAGAGTGGCGGGAGAGCCGCTTCCGTAGGAAGAAGAAGTGGGAGCGTTGGCGACGCTGTTGAATGTACAAGTTAGTCGATGCGCTTCCGCGATTTCGAAGACCAGGAGACTTACGCAGACATGTTGATTGTTGTGGTTTTGAGTCGTGAGACTGGTGAGAAGTTGTTGGTAGTAGTTGTTGGTTGTTGGTAATCTGAATTGTGTTGTGATGATGATGAGGAAAAGCTCTCTGGTTTGTGGTGGTTGTTGGTCCTTTATATACACCTTTCTCAAGCTCAACTCGACTCTTTGACCATCGTCGTGAAGCCGCAGAGGCCCCTACTCTGCTGTATGCGTTGTCACTCGATGATGAATCTTGAACCGTGCGAGAGTGTTGTCGCTGCTTCAACTCCGTAAGACCCTTGAACGCTCAGTCCATCAGCCGATGTATGTGGCCACGTCGAATGCCAACGACAAGGGTAGACACCCTTGTCCCAGCCCACCTCTTCGCAATCCATTATGCTGCCCCAATGAAATAGATTCGACCAAAGCTCAATTGCGTGAGCTTCAACAACTCCTTTGGCTTCGAACGAAATAGAATTGGCAATCATTCATTCCTCTACATCATCAACTTCTTTCGATGATTTCAATGATTTCTAAAGCACTTTATCGTGTTGGAGTTGTGAAGTTCACATCAGCAGCTTCGTCTCCATAAATGATCCTCAATCGCATCATACGCCTAGCCGAACGTCAGTCATGCGAGATCAACTTGGCGTCCGTGGGTCCCTTATCTCAAGCCCAACCATTTCACCGATCAGCCAATCGCGCCACACACGACGAACGCCCCTTTAGTCGTGCAGAGGAGGTTCTAGCCATCCGGCAGGGTTGTTTCTGGTTGTATTGTTGTTCCCAGGCGAGATATTGCACACAACAAAAGTTTCAGCAGATGCGCTATGCTGATTTTAGACTGCGTTGTATGGGGCGAGAGCTCGAGCCTCCACGGCCCGTGCCATGACCCGCAGGCCACTCGATGCTGATAATGTTGTCAGAAATAAGCGAGCCATTAATAGCAATAATAATATTGGTAGCTCTAGGATCGCAATGTTCGTATAGCATAGTTCAAGTTAAGAGTTGCATAAGCGACAAAACTTAATGAACCAACTCCATTTTTGAACGATGATGGTCACGTCACGTGAGAAACTCATTAATGTGCCTGTTACTGGCTTACAGCCGGGACGTTGTGTAGGCAAATCCCAGACCCATCAAACCCCAACTCATGACTCTCAATGTTCACTGTCCTCCCAGCGGTTTGCAAGCGTTGGGAGGACTTATGGGAAGGCTCTCTATTCCCATTCTCATCTAGTAGATCGATCCAGCTTCGTAAAGGGCCACCGATGTCGATTCTATTTGACATTACCGGAGACCGCTGCGACGCTCTTTGATCTGGGGTGAAGGTGTCACCTTCTATTCGGAGGGCGAGTCTTATCTGGGGTATACTTCTGCATCCGGCAATGGCTTCCTGTAGCCAGCTTGCCGTAATTGTCCTAATATTCTGCCACCCGAAACGAATTCTTCTCACGTCTTGCGTCCCGTTGGATTTATGTTAAGATCAGCACTCCGCTCTAACAGCATTTCTAGTAATTATTAGACCGTTGCCCGTCTTCGAAGTGTATCACAGACTAGTCCTATTTCCGATTTTGTCTCATTGACATAGTATCCAACGCTCCAGAGGTACCCAGTGAGATGAATGTTGTTGCTACAGACAGCTCGCTGTAGATTTGTGACCGCTCTACGCCAATTAGACTTCTTCAGAGCTTGGTTGTTGATAATTTGATACGAACTACTGTCAATCCAGAAATCCCGCCAGTCTCCTAAAGTGAAACGCAAATATATGAAGACAACACAAGTGGTTGTTGTGTGAATGAGAGAGTTTCATACGTCAAAGTCTCTTTGCAACTTCGACATGTGCATACAGGTTAGAGGAAGGTAAGATGCATTACTAAATCCCGTAGTGAGAGAAAATGTGGGCTAGCGCGCGTCATTACGCATACCACGATTATTTTCAGAAAGAAACATAACGGCTACGTTATGAATGAGGGAGATGTGGATTAGAGAGAGAGCGAATGAGAGGGAGAGGCTTAAAAGGGCCACCCAATAACTGTTGAGATACCGGATTGGGAACTACATAGATGACGCATCGCACGAAAAGTACTGTGATGTACCACACACTACATTCATCTTGCCCTGTGAATAAGAGTTTAGTCAAGTTAATTGCAAGCCCTGATCCCTAGTTATACCTAAGCAACATACCCAGTATGTCCTGAACCTCCTTCGACCAACGATCGCTTAAACCAATGCGTGCATGTGTGTGTGAACATAGATGTGCGTATTCCTAGACATAGAAGCCCGAACTTCAGACGCAAAACATAAAATGACAAGATAGAAGGATGGAAGACGATAGAAAAGAAGGGAGAGGGGGGGAAAACCAAAACTACATTCACATCGATGTTCATATTCAGCCCATCCATCATACACACCCGCAAGCCAAACCCAGACGCCAACGTAAGTCTCATATCTCGTAAAATCATAAAACGCAAATGAAAAAAAGATTAATTCAAAACAATGGCATCGCTTTTACCACCTTCTCTCTCCTCCTCCCATCCCGAATTCTTTTCGATGGATCCCCTGTCAACCCCTATCCTGGCGCTTCCTTGTTTTCCCCCTATGTGAGAGTGGGTTAATAGTGATAACATGCGGCGGCCGATAATTACTCGGAGGCGGCTGCGAAGGCATTATGCCACCTCCGCGCCCGGCGAAGAGTCCCGCGCCCGCCGCTCCTCCTCTTCCGCGTCCACGCGCACCCCTGCCCCTCCCAGCGGTGCCCATATGATGGCCGGGAGGCGGGGGTCCGGTGGGGTGATGGTGTTGCTGTGGCTGCGGCGGCGACGGCTGGGCGGGTTGGGCGACGTAATTGGGGGTTTGGAAGGGCCACATGTGTTGCACGACGAGCATGCCTGGTTCGACGGTGTCTTCCCATAGCTCGGGGAGGACGACGAAGGATGATCTTTGCTGCTGAGAGTTAGATGGGCCTGGTGTTGACGACGACGATGATGAGCTGGCGATGGTGTTGAAGGAACTGGGTGTTTCCGTGGCCGAAGATGAAGACGCCTGGGCGGGAGGAATAGGGGTGAGAGGCGCGCCGGGTGAGAGTATCTCGTTCGCTGCGTCCATGGGATAGGGGAGATTGACGGATAGATCATAGCGGCCTGCCATCACGTGCGGTCCGAGGACGTCGACGTGGATGAAGCAGCTGTTGATCAGCTTCCTCATTCCCTGTGTATCTCGTAAGTAAAGTCCTGTAATGAAACGAATAATTGGTCCAGCTATAGCATGATCAAAACCCTAGGGACTCTAAATGAGAGATGGACACTCACCGCCCATGTCTTTGCCTTCTCCCAGGGGAAGAGGAAGTTGCGGCCGACAGCATCTCGAAAGCGAATGGGCAGCTTTGTCGGCGGTCTTCCTGCTGACTTCTCCCAGCCAGGATCGCCGACGTCGAGCGGTCGAAATGGGTGCTCGCCATCAGACGCCTCTGACGGGGACCTTGTCTCAGCCTCTGGGTCTGCTTTCTGCTTCTCCTTCTTCTTCCATGAAGATGTCGCCGCCTCACCCACTAGCGCCGAGGCGGCCGTGGTGGTTGCATCGTGTTCGCAAGGCTCTTCGAATAGGCTTGACGGATAGCTCGAGTCCTGCGAGTCCTGCGATTCTGGTTGGGTCGCGTGATTCGGGATATCGATGTCCTCCTGGTGAGTGGTTATATCATCCGTGACGTCGACCAGGGTACCCGAACGCTCCTCCCCTGTAGCTACGCCAGCATGAATCTGTGAGTGCGGTTCGTCATGCGCTTGCGCAGCTTCCTGGTCCCCGGAACTCGGGCTTGAATCCTGTTGAGGAAGAGGAGCGGAAAGCAGACGCGCACTGCTGCTGCTGCTACTACTGGTCTCTGGGGTCTTTCCCTTGTTTAGCCGAAGTGGCGGCGGCGCGTCGTCGTTTTCGTTGTCGTCGACGACAACATCAGCATCAGCTTCACCGCCATGTTCCGTCTTGGGTTCCGACATGGAACCCCCCTGACCATGATCGGACGGTGTCATCAAACTGTTGTCATCTCCCTCCGGAGCTGGCTGCTGGGTTGGAGATGTGGGTCCCAGGAGGCGCGAACCTCTGCGATCAGACAGATCTGGAGGGTTGGGTGGATCTGACCGATTAGCGAAGAGATCTACAGTAACCAGACTTGGGCCTGACGAACCAAGCATGCTGGTATTTGGCATGCAAGGAGGCGCACTATCATGGCGGGCGGAAGGAGATTCCGTAGCCCGGGACACGGCCATCTGGATTGAGTGTGGCTCACCTCGACGGAAAAGTATGACTACAGGTCCCAGGGCCCAGGGCTGGCGGTCACCTTTTTCTCGAAGTTGTCGATGGTGGCCCGACTCTATCTCTCCTTTGTTCCTCTCACTCTGGTTTGCGGGGTTTAGGGCACCGCCTGTTTGCTTTTGGGGGCACCTTGCTCAGCGGCGCCCAAGGGATCAAGCAGACTACGTCACTCGCGCTGGGCGCTAGGCATGTGAAATAAGGCTTAGCTGGCGGTTGAGGGTGTGGCAGTGAGAGGTTGTGGTGGTGCGAATGCGGTGGTGCGGACGGTGGTGGTGAGAGAGTGAGATCAAGGGACAAGGGGCAGCAAAAGAGCAGCTGATTTTCGATAGCCGAGCTAAATAATGCGGCTGAGAAAATCGCAACACAAAGGGGAGCGGGAGCTTGTTCTCACATTTACCTACTCCAACAAGAAAAAAAAAAAAAAAAGAAGAGACCCAAGCAATCGATCAATCAAACAACCAAGGCGGCAAACGTCAAAACGTCTGTGCTGTGCTACTGTAGGAAGCCATGCTGACATCCTACCTACTTACTATTTAGATACCCATCTAAGTACCTAAATTGCCTACATAAATGTTTGGAGCAAAGGCCCAAGCTGCCTACGCGAGAACTCGTGTTGACGGGGAATCTGTACTTGTTCGTGTTAGGTTCCTGACATGCTATTTCGAACACCCTCAATGCGAATAGCTAGATATGTATGTATATGGATATCAAGTGCTTGCAGATAGGATGATTATTAAAGTTATTTAACAAGGGGGAGATTCAGATTGTACCTTAAGTATCCTGATACCGGTACACTTTGGGTACTGCAGCACGTGCATGTCCACAGCGGGGCATTGAGCGTTGGTGATGAGTACCTATGCATCTTTACCTGTTCATATTTATTTATAACAATGATCCAAGGTACAGTAGGACTTCTGTTGGCAGTTCAGTTCGAACGAACGAACCAACCAACCAACGATTCAATGGTGCCATTTACGCACGGGGCCTGCGGGGTTTGTTGGCTTGCCTACTTTATACTACTATACTACTTCCTTATTTACATACCTACAGTACATACATACATATGTAGGTATGGATACCGTAGTGCTTGGGTACTGAAGGCCTTGGTTGGATTCAAAATATTTTGTTGGCTGTCCACAGATCCAATTCTTACATGTCTAACGGTACACAGCTATCTAGCATGCGCTGAATATGTAGGTACTTGTTATGATTCATGCTTGATTTCTGATTACCTCAACAACCGTTCCCATGGGCCTGTTTACGTGCTAAGTACCTACCTATACCTACGATACCTACATTGACTCCCGAAAGACCCTTTTAACCCCCTGTGCGTTGGCGCGGAACAAGCGTGCTTCTGTTCCGCCCGTACTTCGCGCAAGCGCTAAGCTATCTACAGTACATAGTACAAGTAAGTAAATGGTAGGTACACTAACACAAAACCCGCCGGAGCCGCGGAGCCGTGACGCCCGCATACGCCCTTACATAGTATTAGTGTGCTATTATTCAACGAAAGACGGGAATCTATTGATAGGCATGTGGATAGATACTTAGTAGTAGCGTATGTAGATCATCTCGCTCTCGACCCAAACAACTGACGAACGCTTCTTACGTCACGTCACGTATTGTGGCGTGCAGTTCGCCCATCTAATCCAGGCAGGTAAAACACCACTAGCGCGCCTATATATGTGGGAAATTCTCCATCGGGAGGGAAATCTCTCGCGAGGTGAGCTGAAGATGGCTGAAACCTACCAGCTAACAAAAGACATGTAGGTACTACCTGCTCTTATTAAAACTTATATGTCACTACAGGATGTAGGTATTATGAGTCATTTCCAGTAACCGGGAGCAAGAGAACGCCGGGTCCTAGGTATCCCGGCGCAATTGAGCGAGCCCGTCGATTGGCTGTTCGTTCGGCGGTTATTCGCGCGTTGTTGTTGGTGATGAGTGCAGATCATCGTGCATAGCATCGCATATATACCCCACAAGGAGGATCCAGAGGGGAAGAGCAAGGGAACCGCCATTTCAGCGTGTAATTAGTGTACCGTGATTACATACAGTAGGTAGGACGAAATCTTGGGCAGGAAGGAAAACGTTCCGCTCCCGCACCGCACTGTACATAATCTGTATACTAAAGGACTTACTTCGCATGGGAGTAAAATAGGAAAAATGTGTATCATCTTACGCCCCCGAGCCAATAGTGCATCGTCGACGGCGGGGGATGAAGCGGGCAAGTCCCCATAGGTACCGTACTTCCCGCCCACTTCCGCCCGCGCATTGTAACCCAGCGCAAACGACTGTTTTAGAATGACGGAGAAAATAGAAAGAAAAAAAAAATACCAACATCCAGGTTGTTGGTGTAGTGTGTGCGGTGCACTTGCAGCGATTTGATAGGTGCTCTATGCGAGGTGTAAAGTCATCCCATAAACGAAAAGCACGTCAGATTCAGGGATGAGAAGAGGGAAGGGAAAGGAGAAGGAGATAGGGGTTGAGAAAAGAGCGGGATCAAAATCAACCAACGAAAGCATTGCAATCAAAGCATTAAAAATCAAAGGAACCGAAGGATATGTGACGCCGCTGTATATCGCCAGGCTCCATCCGTGGGAATATACATAGGATCGTAGCATGCATCCTGTCTCGATATCTCGTGTCACGCTGACGGGAACAAGTGCGTTGTGGTTGTTGTTGGATCTGTCTGACGCTCCCTGTCTTGTCTCTTGTCTGCGGATGTCGCGCATGCAGAAAACTGTCCCATTTTCCCCGGATGGAAAAGTACCGTGCTTAGCGTTACCCCCCCTTGCGTGCCCAGGCAGGCCACACAGGATGCTTGAAATTTTTTTCTTGACTTCCCACCCCGTATGCAACGCTTTTTTCTCACGTAGGTAGTGTAGATTACGGCTTACTCCGATGCACATTGTACGTCGTGTCGACGGGACCAACAGATCAACACCTGGTTAGCGGCACTTGGCATCTGAACAATCGCTCGCGACCATTACCTTCCTTGGACTGACGGGCCAGTTGGTGTAGTAGGTGTCGGATATCTTGCAGCATCACAGAGAGTGCAAACTGTGTAGGACATGGCAAAGAATGAACATTCCTTCGGGGGAATATTAGCTCTTCATTATACGTTAATTGACTATTCTTTCTATCTGGGGAATCATGAGATAATCGTAATCGTTAAACACACTACCGTAGACTGAGAAGACTCCAGCGGTTCTAATCCCCTTCCCCTGTATCATTGAACCTGGGGATATGTGCAGCCTTGATAGAACATACAGTAGATGAGTAGTAGAAAGAATAGAGCAAGTTTTCGCCATAACAGTAAAGACAGCAATGTGGCTTGTAGGACCCTTGTTTTGTGTACCAACCAACCTATCAGCAGGGCCAAGTCGCAAGAAGACAAATCAGTAGTACAAACATGAAGCTTGAAAAGAGGGGTATAACGATTTTGTGTCTAAGGAGAAATTAACCTTCACTCGTCTTCACATTCGGCATCGGCATCTTCATCGTCTCCGGCCGCAGGACCTGGCATGGGCGAGACCGGCGACACTGGCGGCGAGACGGGGTAGCCAGTGGCCTTGAGTGGGTTCTGCAACGCCCACCTGCCCTTTTCGCCTCTCCTGAGGATGCCGATGGCAGGGCTGGTCGCCCAGTCCACCAGCGTGCCGTCCGTGTCACCGCCGAATTTCACTGGTGGCTCGGTGCCGGCAGCGGCTTTCTCCAAGTGTTTTGCGACGTGCTCCATCCGCTCGTCCCACGCATTGCCGCCATCGAACCTCACATTGCAGCCCACTGCCGGGCAGCGCATGTGCGTAGGGAGCTGGCACCTGGTTCGAACAGCCCCGTCTTGATGCATACGCTGCTGCTCCTCCCATTCGGGAACGTGCGTCTTCGACCTGACCTTGGTCTTCAGGTGTGCGGGAACGTGCATGCGCCGGAGGTGCTGCGTGTATAGGTCCTTGCGATTGAAAATGGTGCCATTGGGGAGGGCCGATGTGTACGCGACCGGATAACGGGGGCCATCGCCGCGCCTGCGCGCCGAACTGGAAGACTTCTTTGGCGCACTAGGTTTATTTGACACCTGTGCGCATCCTTCTTGTTGACAAACCCAATACTGAAGCACAATGTGCTGAGAGGCACAGTGACGCTTCCATTCGTTTTTGCTCGCAAATGTGGAATGGCACCCTGCAAATTCGAATATGCAGGTGAATGGCCGGGTATGCTGCTTCTTGATGTGGTTCTCAAGGCCCGATCGATCTTTGAATGAAACCTTGGAGCAATCAGGGCAACTATACTGTCCCTTGCTGCCTTGGATAGATGACTTGGGACTCTGCCGAGCGACCAGCGATTCCTCCATGGAGATCTTGGAACGTTTTGCGTCCGAAGATGAGTGCGAGTTGCTGCGTCGTTTGTAGTTCTTACCATGACGTTCTGATTTGCCAAGGCCATTCTTCAACTTCTGTCGTGGATTGTATTCATCATCGTCACCATCGTCGTCATCACCTTCTTCGTCTTCCTTCGGTTCAGTCTTCAGATATGGACTCTCAGACTCGTCTTCCGGTTCATCAGCGTCGACTTCTTCGAAACTGTGGTCGTGCGTCGCGTCTAAAATGCAAACCTCTTCCTTCACGACTGGAGTATCCGGGCTTGAGCAGCTGGGATGTGGGGATATTTCATCTTCAGTCCAACCTTTGTAGCCTATATGGCTATTGTCGCTCGACATGCTAGAAGTCCTTATTGGGAAGACGAATCTTTGCTGCGCATGGTCATCATACATGTTCATTGACATTGGATTGACATCTCCAAGGTTGACGCAATCGTCCGCTAAACCAGTGAATTGGTAGACTTGTGGATGGGAATTCCAGCTATCGTCATACTGGGGCAATAGAGGCATTTCTGAAGGTGTAGGTGGGGAGTTCATTTGATAGTAGTCAGTTTCCCTTGGTGGGCTGAGGCCACTACTACAGGTTGAGGATGAATTGGTGTATGATGGAGAGTCGGCACGCTGGAAATGAGTCGTTGGAAATGGAGGCACGAGCCCAGATGTAGTAGGATCCATCGGTGGGTATAAGAAGATTGGTGATTTATTGTCTGTTAGGAATCGGTTGACGGTGTAAGATTCAGCAGCGCTTGTCGGCGAAACCGAACGCTTGATTTCAGGATCCATTGACGCCTCTGTGTATAGCGAATACGACGTCGAGTCAACGTACGGAGGGTGTGCATACGCCATCGTGTTAGTCGACCAAGTTGTCAGAAACACCTTAGAACCTTAAGCAATAGTCTTGGAGATGGTGCAGTTAAGACTAATCAGAGTCGAGAGTAAGGGGTATGAATCCGTATAGCCACTTATCTCACAACACACTGGTGATGTTAACAGTAATATTTGATGGAGCCAAAACACAGTCTATGGTAGCGCTCTCCACGGAAAGAAACAGAAACGTAAGTATGAAGAAAACACCCAGGGCGGGATCTGATTCTTTGTATATGGCAGCTATCTGATTCAAGAAGGGCAAGGTTGAGCGAAAGGGGATGGCCAAGGTAACCGTCAAGGCAGTAAGTGTGCGGCGCAGCTGGCTCAATGCTGATCAACACCAAAAACGCCATTGCCGTTACGACTTTCTATTTCATTGTCCTTTACACTACCTCTTGTTAGTTTGCGACCCTAGGCTCACAGGGTCTATTGCCCATGGGCCGCTGCCGATGACTCCACGCGGAGCCGCGCCAAGACCCGACCTGAGCTGTTGTTTCTTTTTCATGCAGCATGTCCTGGCGGAGCGTCCACTCGCATCTGCAACCCACCCACACTCCTACAGCCCCTGTATTGTACTGGTACGTGGTACTCCTGTCAGGGTGGATGGGCCGCGCCCTTGTCGTAAGGCAACCGGTCCACCTGAGAAGTCAGCTTAGTGCCAAGAAGGGAGTGTGAGTACACTACTGATAAGTACGACGGCAAGTAGCTGTATGATGTAGAGGCCATTTTTGGTACGCGACCCATCGAGGTTGAAAGCTCATTCAGCCATGCTTTCAGTCCCCCATGCTTGTAAGGGACTCTGTATTCCTGTGGCCTTTGTACCTATGCTAAGACACTGACAATCCTGATTAGCTCCAGAAGGGTTTCTGGAGACGTGGCCTTCAGGTAATTGAGCCTATGCTTCTAGATAACTAACTGAGTTTTAAGTGAGGTAGGCAATAGCGTGCAGATATGGAAAGGCGGAACGAGGATGAGTGGCAGCATGACCAGAGAAAGCAGATTAGAAGGCATAAATGAATGAGCTCCAGGCACCAGACACGTATATGCGGGACGGGTGTGTATACTTGGTGTCCTGTTCAATGTGCGACACTGACTCGAATACATCCCGCCCGATCAGAGTGTTGCCTGTTCGGTTCGCATGGGAAGCGAGTCATACAGTAGATACAGCGTGACGCAAAGTCACACAGAGAGGGACACATTTCAGCAGGCGGGCTAACCAACGCTGACTGGAGTACGATGAGATGACCGGACAGTGGCTCGGACCAGTCGTAGTCCAGAAAGCATCTCGATGTAGCTGTCCAGGGGTGAGGAACCAACGACGAGGTGCCAACGAGAGCCCTACGACAGCTTAATACGCAGTTGAGCTGACTACAGTGAAGCATAGTGCGGCTCCAGGGGATTGGTTTAGGTATTTGGGCACTGGAACATTGACTCTATCAACCAGGGCGTTATTGGATGACGTTGATGACGATGCTGATGATGACCACTTGAGCCAACGTCTAGAGCGGTTCCTACCTCACTCGCTTTCTCTATCTCGATTTGTAGTTCTTCTTTGCTTTTCTTTCCCGAAATGTCATTGTGCTGAGCGAAAGGTCGAAGGATGAACGGCGGCGCACCAATGTCTCGCATCAATGCAGAAATACCCTAGACCGAGACAGACCATTAGGCATTTCTAAATGGAGGAGACAGCAGCGAAGCCACGCAGCCACGCAGCCACGCAGCAACTGGACCAACGCCCATCATCCTGAATCGGGTAGGTGTTGGGGGAAGGGAGTCTCAACTCCGAGGAAGCAAAAAAAAAAAAAAAAAAAAAAAAAAAAAAAAAAAAAAAAGAGTAAAGAGTACCTAAGGTACCTGTCTGTTGCACCGGCATCTGCCTCGATCGATTCTCTTCTGCTGTTGGCTCACATACGGTGAATTGCTTGTTTCTCTTCCTGAGGTCTTCCCTGGGTGCCCTTGTAGCTCCTCTCCTCTCTTGTTGTATACCTAGGTGTCTAGTAGGTATAATTACCAAGTGCCTAAGGTGACATTTCTGGTGTTTTGGGATACATCAAGGTACTCACGATATCAGGGCTTAAAGGTACTGAGTACAGAGAGGTAGGTAGCGATTGTAGAGGATACCTATTATCATAGGGACTGATACGTGACGGAATTACGTGATGGCTCCGGCTAGCTACAAGCCTCCAAGGTATCTTCGCTAGCGTACGGGGCGGGGGCGGGAACTTGTGTAAAAGTACCGCTTAGCGGGCTCAGACCCGCACAGTACCCGTACCGATACAAGGCCATTCTGATGATCGAAGTACTATAGTAAAGTAAAGGGTGATCACGGCGACTACGCTACTGTACCTAGATAGTAGGTACATGTATCCACTCGAGCCAACGACAGGACGGCCGAGGGACGGACGGCGAATGGGACGGGTTGGAAAGTGAACGCGCGCGGAATTCCTCGTCCTCGTCCTCGTCCCCGTCCTCGTTCATTGTTCTCGGCCACTGGTCGTCTTCACCGAAGATTCAATATCGACGATCCAATGGAAATTGTCACAATGACGTCCTGGTCCCTGCCCCGGGGTATCGAAGCAACCCCAATCTGCCAAAGACACGCAAATAGGCACATCTATTTGCAGAAATACTTTGCAGCAACACCTTTCCATGTGCTACTACTCTTATCTCAGTCTCTTTCCACGTTGCCTTTGGCGAGCGACCACTGGTACTCGGTACACGTGTATCGGGGGGGGTCCACCGCTCATGTTGGGGGCCGAATATAGAAACCGCCCAGCGTCATCCACCAGTCTCTCCAAAAAATACGACCTCAGATGTACTGTACCGCTTCAAGTACTTACATACCATACACACACATGCGCACGCAACAAGTAGAGGACCGGAATGAATGACCTTGTTCATACACACGCGCAGCAAGCCCCCAAGACCGGCAGTTATTCCCGTGTTCAACCCTCTTCTCCAGCCACTTCTAGAGAGCAACATACCGTACCTACCTACCACCCTTGACCAGAAGGCACATTCTATAGATGATTGCCTCTCCTCTATACGCTCTGCCGTACCCCACGAAAAGTCCTAAAGCGTGATCGAAGTTGGGGGCTTTTAGCAGAATAGCACCCGTGCCCGGTCGAAGTTGTATTAGGGACTGAATAATCGCAAGATGTGGCTGTGGCTGAGTCTATATGCGTCTAACCATCTGCGCGCAATGAATGCCCATACCTACTCCTAGTATCTCTCCCACCTATCACGCACGGGATCCCGTTCTCTTTGGCTTTAGGCTCTTTCCTCCTCCGCCTCCTCCTCCTCCTTCTGACGCTTCTTGGTGACCGAGATCCAGCCATAGGAGTTGATTAACATGGAATTGTCTGTGAAGAAAGGCCGTGCCTCTTGCGATTGCTCCCGCCTTGGCGGTGGCATGGTCAAGCTTGGCCTGCTCGATCGACTGACCAGACAGGACAGGGGACTCTGAGGGTAGCGAGGGTAGGTACCCATATACCCAGGCATCTACTTCGTATAGTGGGTATTCGTGGCTGCTAACCCACGCTAGGTGCTACCTACATACTTACATGTACTTACATGCGGCATCGTCGTGCACATCACATCTTTATGTCAGCCTACGACCCTGGCAACCCATGTCAACGCTCTGACAACCCTGTCCGTGTTACGAGCAACTTGAGCAACTGGTTCTCCTTTGTGTCACCTTCCCTTCGCATCAGTCCAATCAGACCTCGCTTCTCTAGACACCTAAGCGCGGGTGGCTACACAACCTCGACACACTGCCACGGACCCTCTCTCTCCTTGGGAAAGTGTCCCGTACCTACTCCTACATGTCTGACTTGACTTGGACCATCGCCTACCTCTTACTTACCTCTCTCGCCTCTTACTTGCTGAATACGCTATGTGGTGTGGGTATCCATCGTAGGGCACTCGGATGTCTCATTTCATATCTGACAGATGTTGTATCCCGCTCATCACAAAGTTTGCGCTGCCTTATCCGGAATCTGGTTTCCCAGCCCATTGGCTCTCCCGACTTTCCGGAACGCAAGGGATGCCATCGTCACAGATGACTAGACCGCCAGAGCACACCATCCACACGCTGTTCGCTTGTGCAACCAAAACTTCCCTCGCACTATCTTGAGGCTCTGCTGCTACATACTAATATACGATCACTCTTCTATTTTCCGTGTACTTCAACTGGCTATGCAATGAAACATTGCTCCATGCAACTCCACTTAGAGCGGTCAAGAGTGCTCGCATCATATGGCAACCTACCCCAAAAGGCGGGCCGGCGAGGGGTTTCTCATAGAGAGGAAGTGTGTGGGAGCTGGGGGTAAATTACTAAGTGTCTCCCGACTGGCTGCCTGGTTCGGCACTCACAATCGCCACTCCATTCGCTCGCTAGAGATCAGCCACAGCTTTTGTCATACTTCGGATGACATATCCCCAAGTTCGTAAGTGCCGCCACTAACTTCGCAACATCGAGCCCCAAAGGAGACAAGTGCGTTCAAACGTACCACATAGTTCAACATCATGCCTTGGTAGCGATAGATAGCACCGACCGATATTTGGTCATTGTAGTAATACATGAGGTGCACTTTGATAGCAAAAGGGTGCTAAAAACAAACGAAATCAGGATATCATGTTCATTGTGGCAATGCTTAGGTATGCTATGCATCTTCACAGCCTTCTTTTTTTTAGCACCTCATTACAATATCGTGGGCAACCCCTGCTACATTTTTACTTACCCCAGATTGGTTATACGACGCAGTTACGCCTATAATTCTGTGGAACGTAGGTATCATTAGCCTTACGATCCGCAAAGAGAGTCCTAGGTCAGATTTACGCGACATCACCCTGCGCCGATTATAAGCTAATGTGCATTAAGATTGGTTCAGAAACCATAGTAACGTTAATGGAACATTATGAGCATCGTTTCAGGGACACATCTGCCTCTATGTAACCCTCACATGAGTTGCCGTGTT